AAAATAAGCACCTCCAAGTAATGCTGCTGGAACCGGACGCTAAAGACACCATTGAAGGACTCGAGGATGCTGTTGAGAGTGAAAAGGAGTGTGCCGAGGCTGATACAGAAGCAACGCACATGGAGTTATCCTTAAACTCCATTTCTGGGTTTGGGAATAATCACACGATGAAGGTAAAAGGGCAACTCGAGGGAGCAAATATTGTAATATTGATTGATAGTGGTGCAACCCACAACTTCATAGCAGAGAATCTGGTGAGCAGATTCGGAGTGGTGAATGATGAGATTTCCGAGTATACCATCACTGTGGGAGATGGATGTACACTTCGAAGGAAACAAAGATGCAAGGATGTTAAGCTAAAGGTACAAGGACTTGATGTAATACAGACCTTCTACCTATTTCCTCTTAAGGGTGTTGATGTAGTTCTGAGGGTTAAATGGTTGCGGTCATTGGGAGACGTGAAGGTTAATTGGGGAAGATTAACCATGAAGATTGGAAAAGGAGATAATAAGGTGTGTTTACAAGGGGACCCATCACTGTCCAGAACTCAAGCTTCTCTGAAGTCATTAATGCGATCCTTGAGAAAACAGGGAGAAGGGTTTCTTATTGAATATAGCAGTTTTGAACAAACTCAAGAAGAAAGTTTAACTTGGCCACCTGAAGTGCAAAACCTACTGGACAAATTTCCCACAGTTTGCCAAGTTTCTAGGGAGTTGCCACCAACTCGTGCCCAAGACCATGCTATAGTGATCAAGCCAGGGGAGCAACCTCCAAATTTGTGACCTTATAGATACCCACACTTGCAAAAGAATGAGATTGAAGTCATGATAAAAGATATGCTCAAGGCTGGAATTATTCAGCATAGTAACAGTCTTTATTCCAGCCCTGTGTTGTTGGTTAGAAAGAAAGATGGAAGCTGGAGGTTTTGTGTTGATTACAGAGCTTTGAATAAAATTACAATCCCTGACAAGTTCCCTATTCCAGCTATTGATGAATTGTTGGACAAATTGAAAGGATCCACTGTGTTTTCAAAGCTGGATTTGAAGTCGGGGCATCATCAAATTCGAGTCAAAGCTGGAGATGAACATAAAACAGCTTTTCGAACCCATGAGGGACACTATGAGTTTAAAGTCATGCCTTTTGGCCTTACCAACGCCCCCTCCACCTTTCAATCACTGATGAATGAGGTATTTCGTGAACATTTACGCAAATTTGTACTTGTTTTTTTTTTGACGACATTCTTGTGTACAGCAGTGATCTATCTACTCACTTGGGACACTTAGAAACAGTGTTAAATATCTTAAGAAAAAATCAGTTGGTGGTCAACTTGAAGAAATGCAGTTTCGTCCAGCCCAGGATTGAGTATCTTGGCCACATTATCTCAGAAGAAGGAGTCCAAGCTGATCCCTTGAAGGTAGAAAGTATGGTGAAATGGCCACAACCCAAGAGTGTGAAGTCACTAAGGGGTTTCTTAGGGCTGATCGGTTATTATCGAAGATTCGTTAGAAACTATGGAAAAATAGCTAGCCCGCTCACTGATTTGCTCAAGAAAGATGCCTTCAAATGGACATCGGAAGCAACTACTGCTTTTGAAAAACTCAAGACAGCCATGACTACCTTACCAGTGCTTGCAATGCCTGATTTCTCAATCCCATTTGACCTGGAAACAGATGCTTCTGGGACAGGGGTTAGTGCTGTATTGATGCAAAGAGGCAGACCCCTTGCTTATTATAGCCAAAAACTCTCAAGTAGAGCTCAACAATGCTCCGTTTATGAGAGAGAACTGATGGCAATTGTTATGGCAGTCAAGAAATGGAGGCACTATTTATGGGGGCAGAAATTCAACATCCGAACAGATCAGAAAGCCTTGAAGTACTTGCTGTAGCAGCGAGTATTGGAAGAGAATCAACAGAAATGGGTGTCTAAACTTATGGGATTCAAATTTGAAATCACTTACAAACCAGGAAAGGAAAATAGAGCTGCTGATGCTCTCTCTAGACAGGAAGAATCCCTAGAAATGATGGGGTTTTCTATGTGGCAATGTAATGACATGGAAGAATGGGAGAAGAAAGTGCAAGCTGACCCCAAATTGAGCAAGATTATGCAACAACTCATCACTAATCCAGAAGAAGCAGAAGGGTACAGCCTGATTAAAGGGTGTTTACACTACAAAGGAAAATTAGTGCTGTCAAAAAATTCTGTACGGGTACCAATGCTACTAAAGGAATACCATGACTCGCCGACGGGAGGACATTCAGGGTATTTACGTACTTATAAACGGCTGACCAATGTTGTTTATTGGGAAGGGATGAAGAAAGACACCCAACAATATGTTGCAAGGTGTGATATTTGTCAAAAGAATAAATACCAAGCTCTCACTCTTGCTGGACTCTTGCAACCATTGCCCATTTCACAAAGAATATAGGAAGATATTAGTATGGATTTTATCACCGGGCTACCAAAATCCAAGAGGTATGATACTATACTTATGGTGGTGGATAGGTTTACCAAGTATGCTCATTTCCTACCATTATCTCACCCTTTTTTTGCTAAAGTTGTTGCTGAAGTGTTTGTGAGTGAGATTGTGAAACTACATGGTTTTCCTAAAACCATAGTTTCTGATAGAGACAGGGTGTTCATAAGCTAATTTTGGCAAGAATTATTTAAGCAGGCCGGTACCCAACTTTGCCTCAGTTCAGCCTATCATCCTGAGTCAGATGGCCAAACAGAGGTGCTAAATAGAGGATTGGAGACTTATTTAAGGTATTTTGTGAATGAGAAGCCAAGTCAATGGATTCATTGGTTATCATGGGCAGAATATTGTTTACAATACTTCTCATCACAGTGCAGCGGGAATGACTCCTTTTAAAGCACTCTATGGTAGGGACCCTCCAACATTCCTCAAGCTCCACGAAGAATCCTCCGCAATAGAGGAAGTTAATGAGCAGATTCAGATGCGAAATCAGGTTGTTGCAACCTTAAAAGATAATCTCACAGTGGCACAGAACAAGATGAAGCAGCAAGCAAACAAGCACTGCCGAGACCTACAGTTGGAGCTTAATGATATGGTTTATGTTAAAATTAGACCCTATCGATTGAAAAGTTTAGCTTGCAGAGTCAATGAGAAATTGAGTCCTCGTTTCTATGGACCTTTCAAGGTTATTGGGAAGGTGGGACAAGTTGCATACCGGCTGGAACTTCCTCCAACAGCTAGAATCCACCCTGTTTTCCATGTTTCTCAGCTTAAAAAATCTGTGCAATCTGCTGTTGTTAATCCCACTATTCCACCAGTACTTTTTGATGAGTTCGAACTCCAAGTGCAACCTCAAGAAGTCTGCAAAGTCAGAACTCCTATGAATGGACAGCGAGAGATGCTTGTGAAGTGGAAGGATTTACCCGAATTTGAGAACTCTTGGGAATTGGTTGACACCATTATAATGCAATTTCCAGATTTTCCCCTTGAGGACAAGGTGAAGCTTTTAGGGGTGGGTAATGATAGAGCCGGAAAATATATCAAGACATATGAGAGGAAATTGAGGGGGAGACAAGGGACAGAGAGGAAAGACCCAGCAGTTTAAGGTTATTGTACTAAGGGTCCTGATAATAGGGAGAAGTCATGATGCTTGTAGAGTGGCTATAGACTCAGCATAGTAGCTAGAGTTATTTTTGGGTTGCTTTAATATTGTACTTTGTTTTGGGAAGGACTCATCAAGAATGTTTTAGAGAAGAGATACAAGTGAGGAGAGTCCTGGTCTCTCGAAAAACCAGCGAGGGGCTGTTTCAGCATTTGTTCTTGTAATCTTGGTACTGATTAGAGAATAGGGTTTTGGCCAGAATCAGTGAAAGTCATTTTGTAACATTGATTCAGTTATCCAGTCATTAATAGCAAAACCTCTGCATTTCCCTCATTTATTGCTTGTTTTATAGTTTTATGTTGTTGTGCATTTAAGTTTAGAGTTGGGTTCTATCAATAACCAAATAAGTTAGTTGAATGGAAGGGTCGTAACATTACCAATTTAGCTTTAGGAGCTTAAAAGATGAAATTTTACCCCCATCTAAGCTTTAGATGATGACTTGTGCCTCTCAGCTTCTTCAAAGTGGAAGAAATCCTGCAAAATCACAAGAAAAATGCTGGAATTCAGAATCTAGGGACAGTGTACGGACGACATGTGTGGCGGCGCATGTGGCGCGTGAAGACTACATGCAGGGGACTCTTTTTGTGTGTGATGGCATGTGCGGCGGTGGACGGAGGCGAATCTTTTGGGTCTGACTGCATTTCTCTTTCCAAGCACAATGGTAGTGTCCGTTTTGTGAACTGATGTCGTGAAATGGGGTTTCTGGCTCTGGCAGCGTGAAAACAGAGTATGCAGTGGCTTTCTGGCAAAATTTCTCCGATCTCCAACAGCAGGAACAGCTTAGGAGCGTTCAGAGTTGAGCTCTGTACCAAATTGATGCAACACACACACACTCATGCTGATTGGAACAGAATAGGAAAGGGAGATGCAGCAGAACAGAGAGTGAGAGATGAGAGGCGAGAACAGAGAGGGAGGGGGAATTGAAGGAAGAATAGAACAGTAGGAGAGCAAGAGATTGAACGAGAACGAATGGAGAGAGAACAACCAGATTTCTAGTATTCAGTCATCATCAAAAAGTGTCTAATACATGTGTTAACTTATGTAAAAGCATAAAGTAAGTTCAGATTTCCTTCTTTAGAAGGAAACTTTCAAAAATACTAAATAATGCAAAAATAATTTGGCAATTTATGTTTTTCTACAATAATATTTGCCATATTTTCTATCAAAATGTTAACATTATGTCCTTCAAATACGTTACTACATAGGGTGGAAGTTCAAAGCAGCTATACAAATCAATGCATTTACTGGCAAGAGCTTGAGCTTTCATTAAGCAGGCAATAAGAAATGTGGTCTAGATAGTAAAATACGGTATTTCATCTTCAATGAATTTGTGTATAATCTCAAATTCATTCTTTTTGGAACCAGATTTTTACATTTCCCCAAGGATACGTTGCTCTATCCAGCTCATGACTACAAAGGATTCACTGTAAGGACTAAGGAGACCCTTGTGCTTTTCCATTACTTAATTTTTGGCAAGTTACTCAAACTTCTGGTTTCAGGTAACCACTGTGGGGGGGCACTTGCAATACGATTCGTGCCTGACAAAGGATGAGGTAAATTTTTTATGAATTGTTCATGTTATAATGAGCTCGATCCACTAGTTGAAAGTGTTAGGGCAGAATTATGAAGTAATATTGTCTAAGGGACTTTAATGGGAGACTTATCCATGTGAATTATAATGCTTATTATAATACAGTATTCCAGTTTAACAGCAAACCTGTTCTGCCATGGTTAATGATGTTAATGGAAGGCAAAGTTCTTCAAAGTTATGATTCATCTGGACGAGGAGGTTGAACTTAATCTTCATTGTTTAGCGAATATATGGAAGAATTGAATAAGAGGACCCGTTTGGTGTGTAGAATGGAAAGTAATAAATCTGACAAAAAGAAAGAAAATGGAAGTAATAAAAAGAAGCATTGGGTTGGGTTGGTGTTCTACCCACCCAACACGTTCAAAAAGTGAAATGAAAGATGTGATTTTGATGATAGAAAATAAACTGTCATGCTCATCCTTTAAAACAGGAAGTAAAACTTATCAAAATAATAATAATGATGATGATTACAAAGACATGACATATTGCAAAACAAAGGAACGAGCTAGTATTCTTTCATCAATTGTCTACTGGAAGATGTTATCTGGTTAAATAGGATGATGAGTTGCGAGTGTTTATTTATATCCTTTTTTCTTCTGATGAAAAGAAAAGTTCTTAAGAAGGCATTAGAATAGATCTTGTATTGTTGATGAGAAAAGTATACGCTAGTGACAAACAGCCAAGGAGATAACATATTGAAAATTTAATTATATTTTACTTTTGGTTTACGAGGGATATACACTTGTAACATGAAGCCTAATCCAATCTAATATATGATTATACACTTGTACCAGATATAACACGATATTCTAGGATGTAATATGTCTAGTCATGCTGGCATTGGTGTCTCTTAGGTTTTGGTTAACTTCAGTTCAAGCAACGCCTTGATACTGATAGCGCCTATGCTTCTTTTGCAGGAAACTTTCAAGCATATAATGGCAAGTGCTATACAAATATTTCAAAATTTGGTTAGACTTATATCTGTGCATATAATCCTAAAAACATGGTTTTAATCAGCCATATCCAAAACTGATTGACTTGACTGTCCCTATAAATATGGTTTGTGGAATTCAGTCAAAAGCAACCTGAGCAATTGGAAGCTTCATTTCGCTCTCTCCTTGGGACGTAAGGTAAATCATAAAAAATAAATAAAATGACTGTTGTGGGGCTTGAAAATGTTTGATGCAGTCTGTAAAATTTAACTGCAAATAACTAATTTTAATGATTTTACTTCTTATTCTATCGACTGTGTTTTATGTTGAAATGGGCATTTCTATACTTTAGAGTAGTTGTGCTGATTGATTTTTCAATATTAGTTTAAATTCGTTGACGAATTTTGGTTTTTCTTTTTCTCTCCCATGGATAATAACACAGACGCAAGCGATAAAAAAAAAAAAAAGGGAGCACAGCTCGAAGGATTGGGGGTTGACGAAGAACACAGCAAGAATTTTGCTGATTTCCTCAAGTTGGTTTCTTTGTATACCCAATTTGATTTTGTTTTTGTTTTGGACTGTTTTTTGAAAACCAAAATCTGTGACGTATTTTTTATCTCTGAACGTCTTAGAAATTTCTTGGGTAATATTTTGATTTTTCATCTTTGAAAATCTTGCATCGTTTTTGTTTGTACTGGGTTGTAGTTGGATGTGAATTAAGTTATGTCTTTTACTCTTAACTCCTCTTGAAATGAGCGAGTTGACTTTACTTAATGCCGGATCCTAATACCCTCCAAGCAATCCTTGCCTTTCTTTTGGTTTACGTGAGCTTTGTTTTTGCTTTGTGTCAACGTTAGCTTCTTGGCACGGTTATATATACGTGTCGGTATAAACTTTGTTCTTTATTGAAGTTTGAAAGTGACGAGGCATATTTTACTTTTACTCTTTTTTTAATCTTTGGCAAGTTGCCAAGTTCTTTACTCCATTGTGAGCTTTTTAAATCCTTTATGTTTTCCCCTTTTTTTTTTTTGTATTTTCAAGATAACTTTTATATTTTCTATTTCTATCTATACATTTATAGTTAAATTTGCTTTCGATATTTTCTTCCTTCATTTCCATTTTAAAAATAAGAAAGTTTAGACATCACTACCACGGCTTTTGGCTGCTTTACTTAAGTCTTTTTATTTTTAATTATAAAATATAATAATGGTTTCAATTATCTTGTAAGAACACACTTCAACTCTGGTATTGCTATTAACAAATTTTGTCACAATATTGATTTCATGATCTTTCAATAGTTGGTTTTATTTAAGAGTCTGTCAAAAAATGAAGTTGTTTCATGATGGTATACTTCAATTGTACTTCCTTTTTTTTATTATTCTATTTATTTGCATGCTAATATTTCTTTTGTGGTAACATTAAATTTATGTCAAAATGTGTTCGAAATTTAATACTTTATTAAAAATATAAAGTGACAAAACACAATTTACTTTTACTTTCTTTTTTTTTTCAAAATTCTTTATTTCATTGTCAGTTTTTTTAATCTTATACATTCTGCCTTTTTTCTTTTATATTATCAACACAACTTTTATACTTTCCATCCCTATATGCATGTTTGTGGTTAAATTTGCTTTCCATATTTTCTTTCTCCATTTTCATTTTGAAAATAAGAAATTATATTGATTAAGCTTTGTAACTATGATGATCTCTGGTTGCTTCTGATTTAGTCTTTTTATGTTTATTTATTAAAATATAACATTGGTTTCGATGATTCTGTAAGAACACACTTCAATTCTTCTGTTGCTATTAAAAAATTTGTCACAATATTGATTTCATATTTTTTTTAATGGCAACAAGAGTTGAAGTTTGTTCTTATAAAATCATTGAAATCATTATTATATCTAATAAATAAAAATAAAAGGATCAAATTAGAAGCAGGAAAAAGTAGTGATAGTGACAAAGCTTTATCATTATAATCTCTTATTTTTAAAACGAAAATGAAGAAACAAAATATGAAAAATAAATTTAATCACAAACAAACAGAGAGGGATGGAAATCATAAAAGTTGTGTTGAAAGTATAAAGAAAAATAAGGCAAATGTATAGGGTTAAAAAAAAAAGCTAACAATGGAGTAAAGAATTTAAAAAAAATAAAAAGTAAACCATGCTTTGTCATTTTTTAAATTCAACAAAAGACTAAATTTCAAACTCATTTTTGACATAAATTTGGTGTTATCATATGAAGGAATATGAGCAAGCAAACAAATAGAATAGTAAAAGATGGAGGTGCAATTGAAAACTCTATAGACATGCCATCATGAAACAGTTTCATCTAATTTTTTTTATCGACTCTTGAATAAAATTAGCTATTGAAATATTAAGAAATTAGTATTGTGACAAATTTTTTTAATGGCAACAATAGAGTTGAAGTGTGTTCTTATATTTAATAAATAAAAATAAAAAGACTTAATCAGAAGCAGCCAGAAGTCATGGCAGTGACAAAGTTTCATCTCTAAAATTTCTTATTTTCTAGATGGAAATAGAGGAAGAAAATATGAAAATCAAAATTAACTACATATGTATAGATAGAGGTTGAAAGTATAAAAACCATGATGCAAAAACAGAGGAAAAGAGGGGAAATGTAAATGATTTAAAATGCTGACAATGGAGTAAAAAATTTGAAGGAAAAAAAAAAAAAGAATGGTTTATTTGCATGCCAATATTCTTTTTGTAGTTATGTCAAAACAAGTTTGAAATTTAGCCCTTTTTGATATTTTAAAGTGACAAAGCATGACTTACTTTTGCGTTAATTTTTTCTTTTCAAATTCTTTATTCGATTGTTACCTTTTCAATCCAATACATTTTCTCTTTTTCTGTATACTTTCAACACAATTTTTATACTTTTCATTTCTATTTGTATGTTCATTGTTAAATTTTCTTTCCATATTTTCTTCCTCTATTTTCATCTTGAAAATAATAAATTTTACAGATAAAGCTTTGTCACTACCACAACTTGTGACTCCTTCTTTTTAGGTCCTTTTATTTTTAATTATTAAATATAACAATGATTTCAATTATTTTGTAAGAACGCACTTCAACTTTGTTGCTACTATTAAAAACTTTTATGAAAAATACTGATTTCATAATCTTTCAATAGCTTGTTTTAATTCAAGAGTCAATCAAAAAAAATTTAGATGAAACTTTTTCATGATGGTATGTCGCTCTGAATTACATCTCCTTTTTTTTTTTTAAATATCGTGTGTTTATTTGCATGCTAATATTTCTTTTTGTGACAATACCAAAGTTGTGTAAAAATGGGTTTGAAATTTAGTCTTTTATTGAAATTTTAAAGTGACACAAGATGGTTTACTTTTACTATTTTTTTTTTCAAACTCTTTACTCCATTGTCAATTTTTTCAATCCTATACATTTCCTCATCTTTTCCTCTGTACTTTCAACATGTTTTTAATACTTTCCATCTCAACTTGGATGTTCATTATTGAATTTGCTTTCCATATTTTCTTCCTCCATCTCCATCTTGAAAATAAGAAATTATAGTGATGAAACTTTGTACCACGACGTCTGGTTACTTTTGATTAGGTCTTTTTATTTTTATTTGTTAAATATAACAATGGTTTCAATGCTGTTGTTGCTATTAAAATAGTTGTGTCACAATACTACTTTCATAATCTTTCAATAGCTAGTTTTATTCAAAAGTCAACCAAAAAAATTCCAGATGAAACCTTTTCACAAGAGTTCTCAATTGCATCTCCTTTTCTTATAGTTCTGTCTATTTACATGCTAATATTATTTTTTGTAGTAACACCAAATTTAATGCGCTTATAGTTATATTTTAAGCTTAAGGATGGGTATGGTAAAGACGGTGCCAAACCCCTTCTAAGTACTTATGAAGCTTATAAATTTATATTATTGTTTATTTTGATGAACCTAGTGAATTTATATTATTAGAGATTGTAGAATGATTACTGTTTTTTTTAAAATATTTTTTCAACTATAACTTATGGGATAGGCAAGTGGTTTCCAGTTGCAGAACAGTTATGCATTATCCTTATGTTTGGAGAAACATATATAATTTTGATTAATTTAATTTAAAAATGAGAAAATGATTAATTTAACTCATATTCTTCAGTGGGACTTCCTCTTTGAAAAATGTTGTACAGATGAATTCTAAACTTTTAGAATGCTAACTCTACCGTTGGCTGAGCAAGAAATGTTTAGGAAGATTCAATAATTTCCCATGGTTATGTTTAAACTTGCTGACCCTGATAATTAAGTTTTTTAAGGGTTAGTTAAAGATTTATTTTGACTTATTGGTACAGTTTACATTGATTTGTACGCCTAATATATAAAAAATCTCCCAAAAAAAAAAAATTCACTTGTGTTTTGGATAATGATGATTGTCAGTAAGTGTTGCCAGTTATAAAAATCCTAATGAAGAATCAAGATAGTTAACAAAAAATTTTGCTGTAAGTTGTCTTTTCAGTGAGGGCAAAACGCGGGATCTTTGTGAATTGCTATGTACCTTCCTTTCAGACCCGTGCAATGATCGAAAGTTTGTGAAAAAATCTGTTTTGAACATGAGGTGATTTTGTTGTGGATGATGAACATAGTCTTTCAGGTTTCACATGTAAAAAGTAAATATGCGAACTTATGCACGTAATTTTTCAAATTGCATAAGTTTAGCTGATAAGTTGTCAGATTAGGGAGGCTGAGGCAGTGGCCTCAGTAGGTTGTGCAGGCTACATATTTCTCATTAAGACTAACACAGGTGGCAGAAGTGCTAAATCTTCATATTACCTAATTGGATTGCAGACTGTTTTCGGAGTGTGTCAGCAATGATGTTGGGTTGATATGTGCTCCATTTAGCTGGTTTCAACAAAAGGTTTAAATTGATTTTGGCATGTCAAAAGTTGCATGATTCTCAGCCACACCTCTCCATGTACATGTTCATAATAGCAAGTTGAGTGCAAGTAATAATCATTCAAGTTTAGTTTTAAGTAATTTTTAATAGGATTTTCATCAGATCAATAGATTTAAAATGACATATAAAACACTTTTTGTTTAAATGACTCAACGATATGTAACAAGCTAAAAATTATTCAAGTGCCATATTTTCTCTAGAGCTCATTGTACATTCATTTGATAAGAATGAAGGACAGTGATTCTTTTTGTTTTATTTTATTAGCCATGTTTAGTATATCTTTAAAATTATTATTTTAACTCATTTTTGTGACAATACCAAAGTTATGTCAAATGTGGCAATATTCTAATCATTTTGGATTTTTTAAATCTAATTATAAATGTGAGAATGATCAGACAATTATAAATTTTTTAAATTCAATTATAAATATGGGAATGTTTTGACCGTTTTGAATTGCTTAATATGGATTTTAGTGTCTCTTATACATATGTGGGAATATTCTCACCATTTTGGATCCTTTAAATTAAATTCCAACTGTAAGAATGTTCTCTACTATTTTGAATCCTTTACATTTGATTATAAATGAGAATTTTTTGACCATTTTGAATCTTATAACTTTGATTACAAGTGTAAGAATATTCGAATCATTTTGGATCATTTAACTTGTGATACAAGTGTGTGCATGTTTTAACCATTTTGGATCTTTAAAATTTGATCCCAAATATAAAAATGTTTTAACCATTTTGGATCATTTAACTAAGATTTTGATGGCTCCTATAAAAATGTGAGAATTTTTTAACTATTTTTTATTCTTTAACCTCGATTACAAATGTATGAATGTTTTAATCATTTTGAATCCCTTAACTTTGATTAGAAAATGGTTAATTTTTTTTATTGTTTTGACTCCTTTATCATTGATTATGCATGTGAAAATATTTTGATCATTTTAGATCTTTTTACTTGAAATATAAATGTGAGAATATTTTGAATGATTTGAATCCTTTAACTTTGACTTCAAATGCAAGAATTTTATTTATCATTTTGGATCCTTTCACTTAAATTACAAATGTGAGAATGTTCTTTACTATCTTGGATCCTTTAATTTGAATTACAAACATGAGAATGTTTTGATCATTTTAGATTTTTTAACTTAGATTACAAAATGTGAGAATGTTATAATCGTTTTGGATCCTTTGAGTTGTGGTACAAATGTGAGAATGATTTGGCCATCTTGGATCTTTTAACTTGGCTTACTAATGTGAGAGTTCTCTGATTGTTTGTGATCTTTTAAATTTAATTATAAATATAAGAATGTTCTAACTATTTTGGTTCCTTTAACTAAGCTTTTAATGGCTCCTATAAAAATGTGAGAATTTTCTAACCATTTTGGATCCTTTAACTAAGATTTTGACGGATCCAATACAAATGTAGGAATTTTATAAACACAAGTGTGTGAATGTCTTGACCATTTTGGATATTTTAACTTTGATCACAAATTTAGGAATTTTTGATTGTTTTGAATCCCTTATATTCAATAAGAAAAAATGTGAAAATATTCTAATCAGTTTGATTCTTTTCACTTGAAATATAGACATAAGAATGCTTTGACCATTTTGGACCTTTTAATTTTGATTGCAAATGTAAGAATGTTTTGACCAATTTTGATCCTTGAACATTGATTACAAATGTGGGAATATTCTACTTTTTTGGATCCTTTAACTTGGATGACAATTGTGAAAATATTCTAATTGTTTTGGATCCCTTAATCATAATTACAAATGTCGGAATGTTCTGATAATTTTGGATCCTTTAACTTTGATTTTGATGGCTCCTTTAAAGATGTGGGAATGTTTCAACCTCTCTAGATAATTGGATCCTTTAAGTTAAAATACAAATGTGGGATTGATATATACTATTTTTAATCCTTTAATTTAGATTATAAATGTGAGAATGTTCTGACCATTTTGAATCTTTTAAATTTGATTACAAAGATTGGAATGTTCTAACCATTTGGATTTTTTAACTAAGATTTTGACGGCTCCTAAATGTAGGATTTTTCTATATGTTTTGAATCTTTTAAATTCATTTCCAAATGTGAGAATTTTTTAACCTCTTTGGATTGTTTAACTTAGATTTTGACAGTTCCTATATACATGTGGGAATGTTTGGACCATTTTAAATCCTTTAACATGGATTACAAATGTGAGAATCTTTTTTATTGCTTTGGATCTTTTAATTTTGATTGCAAATGTTGGAATGTTTCGATCTTTTAGGATCCTTTAACTTAAAGTTTGACAGCTTCTATATAAATGTAAGAAAATTCTAATCATTAAAGTTTGACAGCTTCTATATAAATGTAAGAAAATTCTAATCATTTTGGATTCTTTAACTAAGATTTTTATGGCTCCCATACAAATGAATGACTGTTTTAACTATTTGGGATTCTTTAAATTCAATTAAAATTGTGAGAATGTTCTAACTGTTTTAAATTCTTTAAATTCAATTACAAATGTAGAGATCTATTGATTGTTTTGAATTCTTTAACATAGATTTTTATGGCTCCTATATAGATGTAGGGATGTTCTCAACGTTTTGGATGCTTTAACTTGAATTTTTAATGTGAAAATATTCTTTACCGTTTGGATCCTTTAAAATGTGAAGGAACTCAAAAGGTGAATGGATCATTCCAAAATTCCAAAGGAAACTTGGAGAAAAACAAGTTGTTGAAGCTGAGTTGCGGGCCATCAAATCTAGTCTGGAGATCGGCAACAAATTAGGCATGACTAGAATCCACTGTCACTCTAATTCTATTGATGCTTTAACTTTGATTCTCAGAGGAGGGGGAGTAATCACCCACCCAAGTCGAAAATTGATGACTTAAAGAGACTTGCTCATTGCAAAATGGAATGCGGATCTTTATCATTCATTTGGGAATGCATTAGATTTGCTAATTTCATGGCTAAGGAAGCTCAAAGTATTCTCAGAGGAGGTTCCACCAGGTTGCTTGGAATTTTATTTTGATGAACTATACAATTCAAATGACCAAGTAAAGAAGTAGGATTTACTTTTGAACTTGGAAGCTTCCACAATTTTTGAGCATGGGAGTTCTAAAGCGTTGGGGCGTTGCTGATTGTTATAGGGAAGGGCACGAACTAGTATATCTCTTGAACCAAGCGACCTCGCAACAGAGAAGAAGGGCAAGAAGCGACGATGACGTGAAGTAGTAATGGATGAAGAACAAAAAGGGATGTGAAGAACTCACCGTGTTGTGCACATTCGCCGCTCTATCATCGGAAAGGTGTAGCTGCCGGTGGTTGTTGCGCCGTTGCCGCCTTCACTCTTTCTCGCGCAGATGCACTCTGACTGGAGCTCGCACAGATCCAATCTAGCTTGTGTTCAATAATGTGTTCGTGTTAGGGTTAGTATGGGAGTCGCACGACCCAAAACAGCATTCACGCACACATACTCACTCTCCCCCCATGGTCACCGAGGAGAGGCTGTCGAGGAAAACGCTCACCAAGGGGTCAGTGATAGATTCGAGAATAAGAGCCAAACTTAAAAAATCAAGCTTAAAAATCTTGTTTAAATAAAAATGTGAACTTTAAAAATTAATTTTTGTAAAGTAATTGGATTTAAAGACTTAGTTTTGATAAAACATATGAAAAAAGACTCAAGCTTGGGTAGCTTTTTAAGCTCTAATAAACTCAATTATTATATATATATATATACACATACATACATATATTTGATTTTTTTTACTTGACATACATATATTTGATTGATAATAACATAATTTGGTTAATATTTATTATAGGTGATGAAGAAGAAGTTATAGAGAAAATTAATATTGAATTTCCACCTCCATCTTCAACAAGTGAATTTACATATGAAAGATTTAATATTTTATTTTTAGATGATGATGGGGAGGATATATATTTACATTGATAAATATTTTAATTTTTATCTTAAATTTAAAATTTTAAATCTTTGTTAAATTTTATGTGAAACTTTAATTTGTTTCATATTAAATTTTAAAATATTCTATTTAAAGTAAAATTTTTATTTTTTTTTTTGAAATAGAGTTTAAGGGCCCAACCTTTAGCCTTTTAAATAAGGGTCGGGTCTTAAAATCAAGTTTAATTTTGGGTAATCAAGCTTTAGGATCTAAGCCTTTAAGGGCTAGGCCGGTCCTGATTTCCACCTCTAGTTAGAAAAGATTTTTAGCATCACTTGGTTTATCTACTTTTCACATCTCAAGAGTGCTTTTCTATTTTTGGAGTGTGAAAAGTTGCTTGGTATCATTTTATTAGATTAAATGTATTTTTAGAAAGGACTTTCTAATTAGGCTCAAATATGAAAAATTAGAAGCCGCATTTTATAGCTTTGAAAAAGTGAATTTAAAAAGTGAGGTATTATTTAATTATATCATTTCAAATATAATCTCTTATTTTTTATTTAAAAAATAATTAATTCATTAAAAATATAATTATCATTTCAAAATTAGTGATTAGATATCAAATTTTTAGCATTATAAATTACAAATTAAATAATTAATCATGTTATTTTTAGCATTAATATATAATAAAAATTTTAAGTCTTTATTATTTTTTTAAAATTATAAATTAAAAAAGTACAAATAACAAGAGATCAAATTTTTAGTATTATAAATCAAATTTTATGTTATTTAAAATTTTTATCACATTTTTTAAATATTTTAAATATATTACATTTATATAATAAAAATTACAAATCTTCATAAATCAACATTCTTTTTAATAATTGCATATTCAAAAATATATTTTATTACCATAATCAAAATAACTTTCAATATGCCAACTAATTTTTTTAAAAAAATGTATTCAAATATAAATTTTATTTCAACAATTAATTTTTAATAAATAAATTTTCACCAAATAAATTTTTTATAAATTGAAAATCAAACACACACTTCATGGGAAGAGAGAAATTTTGGGAGAGGGAGAGTACTTTGGTTAAGGATAATTTAAATCATTTTAGGTTTAAGCATATTGACATGGAAGGACTTGGCCTTACATAAATTGGGGAAAAAGAACGAGAATGAGTGTATATGTTTAAATGCGGAGGGGAGAAGCAGAGAGAATAAAAAAAAGTCCTCCGATTAAGATTTTATTTTAATTTCTTAATTTAATACAATATATTTTCAATCTTTTAATTTTGATATCGTTAATTTTTTAATAAAAATTACTTAAATTAAATTTTTAAATATTAATAAATATTATTTGAAATTAATAGAATTGTGATTAAAAAATATTTTTAAAAAATTAATGGATGAAATTAAATTGGGAGAATTGCACCCAACCTTCTTTTAAAGAAATTAATTACAAATAAAGATTAGTAACAAGTTTTATTTAAAAAAATTATATTTTTATTTTAATAATAATTCTGATTAATTCTCTAGAGTTGGATGTAATTTTTTAATTAAATTTTATATAAAATTAAAGAAATAAAAATATATTTTAGGGGAAAAAAAACTTACAAAGGATTTGACTAAAAAGGTTGCTTTCCGTGGAGGGAATCGCTTCATATTGACTTTGCTGAGTTGTTGCGCAGCTCCGTAGCCAGCCTTAAATCTGTTGTCGATTTCCCCATAAATTAAAGAATTTAATGATAAGCGAAAATTTTGCTGACCAATCGGAGTCAGACGAACAAGATGAGCAAAGAAGACAACGTTAAAGCCGTATCCGGCGACCACCATTCTCCTCCTCCGCCGCCGCCGCAGCAATATCCACCACCTCAGTACGGAACCTTCCAAGGCGTCTCCAACTACCCTCCGGAGCCTCAGCCCGCGATCGGCTTCCCTCAGCCGGTCCCACCTCCTGGCCTCGTCGACCCATCCGCTCCTCAGTATTATCCTCATGGCTACCAAGCGGTTTCACCGGGTATGTTTCTGGGCGTCCGTTCCCCTTTTGTTTTTGATTGATGTGCTGTCTTTGTGGGTTTGATTGGTGCTTGGTGATCACTTTTACTAACTTTTTTAATTCGAAATTTCTTTGATTTGATGCTCGAATGAATGATTTGAAATGGTTTTAGTTGTGTTCGATCCAGCTTGTTGTTACATAATGACTTCGATTCAGTTTTCTGGGCTTATTTGATTTGGTTAGTTTAATATGCAGGTTTCCAGGCTGTTTATATTTTCTCACTTCAATGAAAGTTGAATACTTGAAATTGATTCATCATTTCTGTAAGGGATAATCTAAATATATTGAAACTTGGTTTTGAAGGGTCAAATGGTCTTAAATACTGTTGCTTTAAAGTTTGCGGTGATCGATCTTCCATTAATGGTTTTGCTTCGCTATCATGATCTTCAACTCTTTTAACTGTTGCCGGAATGTAATCAATAAACAAACGAACGCTTCAAGTTTCAGGATGATTAGGCTGCTTGATTGTCTACTGGAACTTTATTTGCTTCGTTTTTAGAAATTTTCAACATTCTCTGAGTCTTGCATTTATTTCTTGTTGCCTCCGCGTTCATATTCTTAACACTAGGATTAAGCTGGTATGCAAATGGTGTATGCCTAGTCTTTTATTTTTACTTTCCTTTAACAGGAGGCTTCAACTTAAAATAAAAATGTGGGGTATCATGTTTATGTTTGAACGTTGGGTCTAATGCTTAGGAATGATCTCACATGAAGTAGAACTATGGATATCATGATGTTTGGATCAAATTCCCTTATGATTTTTTAGAATCATCCCATGGTATTGATATGCTAATAGTGTCTATGGATATCATGATGCCACTCTGAATGAAGCAATAACTACTTTCAGTGCTCCCACATTTATTGACTGATTTTATGCAACTCAGGACAATGATTTTAGTTGGCTTGGATACTAGTATAGATGATGAGTTTGTGGTAGCTGTTTTTTCGCATTTAGAGTTATGGAAAAAATGTAGTTAATTGTGCTTTATGTGTGAACAAAAATTTACCGAGGCAAACTCCATAGCTTGTATTGTCTGGCTTAAAGTTCATTTAAACTATTGGACTCTTGATGCTCAATGTATGTATACACTTGGTTCTCTGTTTTCCTATCTGTATTTTATGAAGCCTCCTTGCAATACATCCACCTGACTGTAATTTGTTGTTGATTAATTACTCCTTATACACTAAACGTATAGTCTAAAGGTCAATAGCTTTTTTAATCTCAATTGTCAAAAAGATGTATGAAAAATTGCAATATACATAGGATCAACTAAAGATAAAAGCAGTTTTATGTAATCTCAAGGACTCTTTATGATATGGGTGCATGACGTGTTCATCAATCAGTGTTTTATAATTTAGTATATACTTTTGCTAAACTACCCTGATGAATGAAACAGGCACTATATGTTGTTATTCATAATTGTGAATGGCCTTCAGGTCTCTTTGCTTGCAAATGGCTAGATGAATCTTAGTTACATAGAGAACAAATATTTATGGATGGACTTTTTTTTTATGTTTTTTTTGTTTTGGCAAATGATCTAATAGGCTGCTTGCTTTTGATAAATTTGTGTTATTATTCCAGGTTATGCAATTGCTGAGGGAATGCCTGTGAGAGAGCGTCGGCTTCCCTGTTGTGGTATTGGCTTTGGCTGGTTCTTGTAAGTAATAATTTTCATTTCACATCATTAACTTATAGGCGTATGAGGTTGGGCTATCTTTTTGTATTACTATATTATAATCATATATGAGTTTTGTTACCTATTTGTTTGGTTAGTTTTGAATGTTTGACCATCATAAATGTTAGCCTCAGATTCTGATAGAGCCTGATTACCTGCCCTCTGTCTATCTTTTATTACCTTGATATGTTCTTTTGCTTAAATTTCTTTTTGTCTTGTGAATTTAAATCTCAATTTATACTATTGATTATAAGGAAAATACTATGATTTTCTATCTATTTTTTGGGATCGTTTGCAATGAGGTTACAACATGCATCAAAACTATGATGCATTGTAATGTCATCCTTATGTTGTATTACAGTAGTGGCTAGTGGGGCTACGTTACTGAACTTAACAGTGAAATTAACTTGTGATAACTTATAGGTCATTGCCAGCAAAAGTTTCTCATTGATATGATCAAGCTTTTCACATTATGCTTGGTTTTAAAGGATTGGACTTCATAGTTCATTTTGATTCGGGAAGGGGGGAGATGGAAATGGCATTGAATTTGGTCATTTTATGAGACCCTTCCAGAACATCAACTAAAATCGGTCCTCTTTGAGGCAAGCTGCTATGAGTTTTCAGTAGTTTGTATCTATTGGTACCCACAGTTTTCTTTATTATTGCACCTATCCTCTCTTCCCTTCAAAGGAGAAGGAAAAAGAGGTTGGAGCCATTATTTTGACCAGGATCATGATATTGATTGATATGTTATTATCTTTAATATGACTGCATATCATAGTTTACTTTTTATTTAGATATTATACATGATTCATGATCTTGTACTGAATTAATTGGAGGTGTTTTTCGTTGGAGTGCCAAGTGAGTTGGAGGTGTTTGAATGTTTTCAAACTGAGTTACCTGATTGCGCAGGCAAGATAGGAATAGATGCTTTCCTGTTTCTGATGTAGTTTCATTAAAACATGCAGGAACTGTTAAAGTTTTTGTTTTGTTTTTCATTTTATCACGTTTGATTCTCTCCTCTCTCCCTTTCACTCTTTCTGGTTATACCATACTGACCAATTCTGGTAGTTTATATTGAGTTGTTGATTCCAAACGTTTCTTCTCTTGTGAAGGTTTATCATAGGTTTCTTCCTTGGTGCAATCCCTTGGTATGTTGGGGTAATAATTCTACTTTGTTCCAGAATAGACCACAGAGAGAAACCTGGATATATTGCTTGTACAATTGCTGTAAGTGATTCACTTTACCTTCCATTTTTGAATTCAAGCAAGTTTCAGTTTCATGTTCTGTTTGTATTCATTGTTGTGAGACTGATTTTGCAGGCTGTTCTTGCTACAATTGCAATTATTATTGGTGCAACCAAGGGAGCACATGACTGGGATGACTGGTAATTTGCCAGATGATCAAGAGTTACAGTCTTGTTGCTTGGGATAGTATCATGGCGGACTAATTACTGGAATCTGCACTTGGGCGTGTGTACTGTACTTAAAGCCATATTCCTTCTTCTTGATAATTTCCTCTATTTGCAATTTGTCCTGTTTGATTTGTCACAACTCACATGGTGGTATGTGGTTATTGTAATTATAATTTGAATTTTGAAGGGAGATTGTGTGCTTGTAATTAATAAGATATGAAGATGATTATGTTCTTTATTAATAGATTGTGTAAATATGTTTTATTTTTTCCCTATAATATTGTGAGAAAAAGTATGTCCAGGGTCACTAGTTGGGATGATGGGTTGGTGTAAAGTATGCCCAATGGTTGTTTTTCTAGTGAAATGGCTTAATACTCAGAACAATGAAGGGCCTCCATACATATTGGTCACTTTTATAATTCTAGAGGCGAAGAAAAGAAATATGAACGATCTGTCAGTACTTCTACAGAGATAAGACATTAAAATTAATGATAATTTTTAACTTTTTCATTCTGTTGCTTCAGTTTGTGACTTTTTTATTTTTCAAATCATCCTTCTTCCTCTATTGTAAAACGCATTGATTGTTATTGTAGAACTTCAGTAATTAAATATCTGAGCTAATTGCACAATTGGCTTAGCAGGTTGTGAGGCACATTGATATTTGATAGTATATCAGATGAGTGCAAGAATTTAGTACTGTCTTTTTGCTCTATTCAATAAAATTCAACAGTTTAATCAATTAAAATTTAAGTACCATTATTTTTAATTATTTTTCATTCTGTTGCTTCAGTTTGTGACTTTTTTATTTTTCAAATCATCCTTCTTCCTCTATTGTAAAACGCATTGATTGTTATTGTAGAACTTCAGTAATTAAATATCTGAGCTAATTGCACAATTGGCTTAGCAGGTTGTGAGGCACATTGATATTTGATAGTATATCAGATGAGTGCAAGAATTTAGTACTGTCTTTTTGCTCTATTCAATAAAATTCAACAGTTTAATCAATTAAAATTTAAGTACCATTATTTTTAATTATTTTTTTTTAAGTGTCTTCCTTTGAATCAAATAAAGGGTTAACTGGTTCCATGCATCGTACCGCTTCTTAAATCTAGTTTAATTGTTAATACATGACAATGATGTGGGACAGTGACATTTGGTAATAATTAAAACTTGGACCGATTCTATTTGTAGTTAAAGGAGGAGGGACTGGGGGATATTTTAAAAATCACAAACGGTGGGGGGAAAAAAGTAAGAAAACCAAACAAAGAAACATCACAAAGACCGTGACTTGACCGAATAAGTCTAGTTGCAGGCCAGTGTGTATTCCTTCCGTTTTGTTATAAAGCATTTTGTAAAAAAAAAATTTTTTGTGTTATCCCCAAAAAAAGGGAATTTGTTGTCCATGATATGAGACATATGAAGGGTTATTTTTATTTATTACTTCTTCTATTTAAAAATATAGATAACCAAATCTTATTTATCAATAAAATAGTTACTTATCTTTAAATTAACAACATCTTTTCATATTTATCATTATTTAATAAGATGTTTTACTTTAAAATAAATATAAATTGACTTATTTATTATGTGCACTTTTAAAAAAAGTATAATAATTACACTTTAAAATATTAAAAATATCTTATATTTTTTTAATATCTCATCTTTCAAAATATATTTTACATATGTGAACGGAGTGTTATTTTTCAGTTTAATTCAATTGTAAATTTAGCTTTATGATTGTATAATGTGTATCTCTCTTTTTATCTTTAATAGAGGTAAAGTTGAAATTTTTTTCTATTTTAAAGCATATTTAATCAGTTAACTGTAATCTAATTATACAAAGGCGTCTTATATCAAGAAGTAAAAGACGCATGTTTTAATTAATCCAGGATGTGGCTCCTTCACTGTAACGAAAGATTATGGTCCTTGGGAAGGACTTAAAGAAGACTAAGTGTAATAGTGGCTTCTACAATAATACAATATTAAAACGCAGTTCCAAAAGAGTCTCTCCTCCACCATCTTTATTCTTCAGTCTAAACTTGAAGTTGCAGAAAAGAAGAATTTCTCATAATGGAAGGTTTTCAACATTCTTCTTCTTAATTATTTCCTTTCTTTCTCCTCGTTTTCTTTTTCCTCTTCTTCGTAGCTTCGTTTCTTGTTTTAACTGTTAATTTCCTTAAGGTCTCTTTGCTTGCTAAAGGCAACATGATTATGAAGCCAAGTTGTGTTAGAGAATAACCTGACTATATATATATGGTTGGACTTTTATTTGACTTTGACTTGATCATGACTATGTTTCTTTTTAGCAACAAACGTGAGTGCTTGTGTGGCGGTTGAGTTCTCGTGCTCATTATTGTAGTTAGATCTGAATAATCTAAAATCGATTTTAATGGTTTAGATTTAAAATTTTTAACATGTAATTTTTTATATGAAAAATTAGTTTTTACTAGAGTGACAATTATAATATCATCTTCATTTGATTTAACTACATATAGTTGGACTTTTATTTGATTTTTATTTGATGACTGTATTTCTTTTCAGTAACAAAAAAGAGCAACACTCATTGATGTGATGGGATTTTGATCATCAAAAATTAATTTTAATAGTTTAGATCTAAAATTTTTAACATTTAATTTTTTATATGAACAATTATTTTTTTACTGGAGTGACAGTTATAAGATTATTTTTTTATTTTAAATTGTATACCTGTTGAAATAAAAAAATTGTTAAAAATATAAAAGAAAATAATATTAAATCTATACAATCAAGATTGATGCTCATCTCACAACAAAACTGAATCCCATACTATATAATGCTTGATTTTGATGCACTTCCCTTTGTGTGTGTGTTTTTGGTCAGATCATGCAGTTGCTGGAACAGAGTCACAACTTCGAATTCAAAGTCTTGGCAACTTGTAAGTAAAAAATTTAGGCCATGGTCTCTGAATTTAGATAATGTATGGTACATGATTGGGATTTTTTTTTCTTTATTTTCCTTTAGAATTCATCGAGAGGAATATGATAAACCAGGGCTATATGAGTTCAGGGGAAAAAAAAAGGATTAAGTTGGATTTGGGAAAAATATCAATCAAGAATCGCTGAAGAAAATTTATATTAATCAATGATTACTTGTTGTCAAAATTTGAATGGATACTTATCGATTTGTGTTAGTTTTTTATTAACAAGTATTTATTCAAGTTTTAATAATAACTTATTATAAATTAACAATAGTTCATTTAAATTATTTTTATATAAATTTTAACAACAATTAATCCTTGATTGATATAAACTTTTTCCGACGGCCCTTCATCTCTATTTTCCCTTTCCATTTTTATATGATTTGGGACAACCAACTCAACTAAAGGTGGGTTATGGGCTAAATGACCAGCTCACTAATTTTTACATTATTTTTATAAAAAAGTTTCAATTTTTTCCAGAAGTTTCAAAAAATGTTTACACCTAAATCATACATGTCAGTAGTCCATGTAGCTCAAACTTTACATTAAAACATAATTATATATATATATATATATATATATTAATAAAATAAAAATAAAAATTCATCATAACAAAAATATAATTATTCACCATCATAATTCGTGATTTAACACAATAACCCCTAAAATAAATATACGAATCATGTCATGCTCATCAAAATTTAAGTGAAACACTACGGGAGGGTCAGACAAGATTTAAAATTTTAAGTTGTTTTTTTCTTTTTTTTAATTAAGTGGTTCAAGAAATTTTGGATCTTTTCTCCTTTCCTCTTAGATTTTTTCATTAACTCTAACTTATAAATGTTGAGTATTAACCCCTTTTGATTATTCAGGATCTAAATGGTATGAATTAAAAAAAAACGTATTTGTTTAGATCAATTTTTTCTAACTTAATTAGACCCATGTAGCAAAGTTATTCAAATTTTCTGCCCTCATATATATATATATATATATATATATAACAATTTAATTTAAAAAAATTACCCAATCTTTAGCTTTCAAATGACAATATCGCACAGATTAAACAATCGAGTTAATGGTCAAAATTATCCTCAATAAAAATCATTAATATCTATCACAATATTAATTAATTAATTATTGATCTCCTCTCAATAAATTAATTACAGAATTAATTAAATTAAAAATGTTTTTTTTTAAAAAAAAAACAAAAGCTTTTGCTGACCAATGGAGTCACAGAGACCAAACAAAGGAGAGCAAAGCCGATGACGGTAAAGCCGTATCCAGCGTCCACCACAGGCACTATCCTTCGCCGCCGCCATCGTCGCCGCCGCCGCCACAGTACCCGCCACTTCAGTGCGGAGCCTTCCAAGGCATCTCCAACAACCATCCGGCTCCTCAACCGCCAATCAGCTACCATCAGGCGGTGCCATCTCCAGGCGCCGTCAACACATCTCATCCTCATGGTATGTTTCTAGGCGTCAGTTTCCATTTTTCTTAATTCATTTGCTGTCTTTGTGGATTTGATTGGTGCTTGGTGATCACTATTATAAAATTTCTGACTTTTTAATTCCGGATTTCTTTGATTTGATGCTCTAATGAATGATTTGAACTGGTTTAGTTGTGTTCCATCTGGTTAATTGGTTGCCATGGAATGATTTCGATCCAGTTTGTTGGGCTTATTTGATTTGCTGAGTTTTATTTCAATCCATTTTGTTGGGCTAATTTGTTAACAAGAGTTAATTTTAATAGTTAGTTACTAAAAAAAATATCTCAAAAATTACTGACAAGGGAAGAAAAAATATGACTCAAAAATTACCAACAAGGGTTTAAAAAATTATAGAAAATGATTAAAAAAAATTCTTTATCCTTTTCACTACTTTTGAAATTCTTAATTTTTTGATTAACTAACAATAAAAGTTAATTTTTGTTAATAGTAGAGTGATATTGCATCACTTTCAAAAGTTTAAGGGAAGCATTATGTCAAAAATAAGTTTAGGTCTTAAAAGCTCTTGAATCTCTAGTTTATAGGCCAATTACCATTTAACTCTTTAATTTACATGTGAAGATTAATTATGAAAAAAAAGTTATCATTTTTTTAAAAAAATTCAAACATTCTTATACATGTAAAAAAATTCGATTATCACATGGAGTTTCAAAATAATTAATTGCCAAATGAGGCTTCAAATAATTTCTCTCACCATAGAGTCCAATTGTGTGTCAAATCTTTTTTCACTTTAGTCGAAAGTTGAAACTGGTTCTTCAATTCTGAAGGAACTGGCATGTATCCAGTGCATCAATGTAAATATTAAAATTAACGGCATTAGTTAATTAACATTTTTAATGAGAAATATCATTATAGCTAATCTAATTTAAAGATTTTAAATTCTCATTCACAATATTAACATGCAGTGCTAATGTATTACTGATTGGTTAAAATGACAATCATTAATGTATAGTGCACTATGGATAATAAATAAGATTTAAGGCATCGTATCGATATATGTGCTCGGTAATCGATGCTAATTAAAATTCCCTGTATTAATTATGATAAAATTAAACTTGTCCTCGTTTATCTAAATAATTAATTTTTAAATTTCTTCAAATTAAAAAAAAAAGTTGCATCTACAAAATGCTACATATATTTTAGGACTAAAACTTAAAATTCTATGATAAGCTGATACAGTTAACTCCCTCGCAGTTAAACCAAGTGTCCATCAGTCATCTGATGCTGCTCTAAATGAAGTGATAAAAACTTTCAGAGCTGCTTCATTTGTTGACTGATTATATGCAGCTCAGGACAATGATATTATAGTTTGCTTAGCTTGGATGCAATACGAGATGACCAGTTAATGTTAATTTTTTATGTGCATTTAGATGTACAGATACCATGTAGTTAATTGCCCTTCATGTTTGAATAAAAATTTGCTTTGAGGTAAAACTCCAAGGCTTAAGTGCATGTTTTGCATGTTTGGTTTATGGAAAAAATTTTCTAAAAAGGAAATAAATAATGTATTTAGAAAGAAAATGGGATAGATACATTTACCCTTTCCTATCTAATGAACACTTTTCAACTTACCAAACATTGCATTAGTCTCAACACACACACACACACACACACACACACACACACACACATATATATATATATATATATATCTTATTTCTTTTCCAATTAACATGATGCTTGCTTTTGAAACATTTTCCTTTGTGTTACTATTTCAGGTTATGCAGTCACTGGAGGAATGCCTGTGACAGAGAGTCAGCTTCCTTGTTGTGGTATTGGCTTCGGTTGGTTCATGTAAGTAATTATACTTTACATTTCACGTCATTGATTTAATTTGTAGGTGTATGAGGTTAGATTTTACTGTTTGTATTACGGTATCATAATCAAGTAGGTTTGTTTTTTGTTTTTTTTTTTATCGGTTTATTTGGTTAGTTTTAAATGTTTTGATCACCATATATGTTAGCTCAGATTCTGTTAGAGCCATACTACCTTGACTTGTTCTTTTTTTGCTTAAATTTCGTTTTCTTTTTCTTCCAATTTTGTAAATTCTTATCTCAATTTATATTACACATTGAGTATAAGGAAAACACTATGATTTTCTTTTGTTTTTGTTTTTTTTTTTTTGGGATTGTTTTCAGTGAGGTTACAACATGCACCAAAATTACCATGCAATTCTAATGTCATCTCCTAAGTTTATACTCTCTCCATTTTGTATTATAAGAGAAAAAATAGTTAAATCATTAAAATGATCTAAAAATTAATGAGATGACTTTTCAAGTTTATCTCTATTTAAAGGCATGATTTTAAAAAGAAAAACTCTTGGCAGTTATATAAATAGGATGATTTTTTGGGGGAAAAAAGCTAATTAATACTCCATTTTATGCAAAGTGACCCATATGTAGGGCTATCAAATTATTTTTGAGAGTGACTAATATATAAGATCCGAGAATTATAATAGTGAGGATGCCCTACTGAACTTAAATGTAAAATTAATTAAAAATTGTGATAGCTGATATCATTGCTAGCAAAATTTTCTCATTATGCATGGTTTTAAAGGATTAATCCATAAATGTAGTAAAAAAAACTTATTATTTTTGAAAATTGTCCTCCTAGTTTTCTCTCCTCCCTATTTTCTTATTAATTTTTCCTTCAATCCAAACTAAGCATAAGGTTGATTTTGACTCTACTGAAAATTTGGTCATTTCTTGATACCCTCATTCCTGAACATCAACTAAAGTCGTTCCCCTTGGAGGCAAATGGGAATGGATTTATCCTTCTAGTAGATGTTTTCCCGTTTCTTATATAGTTTCATAAACACGAGGAACCTGTAAAGTTTTAGCTTTGTTTTTCGTTTAATCACATATTTGATTTTCTTATCCCTCTCTTTTCCCCCCTCTGGTTATACCACTGTTATAAGTCTTATGTGGGGAAGCTTCATAAGCAAAGTGGCATTTATAAATTTAAAGAATTTTTCCATCCAATAAGCTAGTTTTTTTATAGAATGAGTTTCTCTTTAGACTTGTACTCATAACATTTTATTAATGCTTTATTTCATTAAAAAGCTATTGTTGAGGAGAGGGTTATCCAAAAATAGGTTCTAATTGGCAGGAAATCAAGTGAAATGCCATGGATTTGATTCGCTTAGGATATTAGCTCTCGAATGGGGTGATATTTTTTTGAATCTCATTTCATGAAGTTTCATAAATAAAGTAAGGTTTATAAGTTTAATAGACACTTTTATTGAACTTACACTCACAACACAAACTAACCACTTTTGATAGTTTATATTGAGTTGTTGATTCCAAACGTTTCTTTTCCTGTGAAGGTTTATAATAGGTTTCGTCCTTAGTCCAATCCCTTGGTACGTTGGAGCATTTCTACTTTTTTGCAAAATGGACCCCAGAGAGAGATCTGGACATATTGCTTGTGCAGTTGCGGTAAGTGGTTCACTTTTTCCTCCACTTTTAAATTCAAGTTATAGATGAGCATGGAATAATGTGAATTTCTCTTTTTTAGATGCAATATTATTTCATTAATTTTATTTGCCCCTCAAATTGTGTTCCATAATTCATCAGGAATAATACCTCACTTTATCTAATGAGATTTTTTTATCTTTTTTTGGGTAAAATATAAAATTCATTTACTAAAAATATACATGCATCTTGGGAGGGTCCTATTTAATTTGTATGGCATCAAAAACTTAGGATGAATAAATCAAACAACATTATACAACTAATAAGGAATGCTTATATAGAAAGATAAATAATGACAATAAGGCATCAAAATAAAGAATTATGGCTGACGAAGTTTTTTGAAAAATAAATTGCAAATATTAATTAATTTATATTTGTAACTGTTTGAATTAATATTAATAATTTATTTTTAAAAAATTTGTTAAAAACCTTATTGTCATAATTTTTATACTTTGGGACTTTATTATCATTTTCTCTAAATACTATCTAGCCTTCATTCTCAGATATTCAACCTGCTTGTCAAATGATATATCATAGAATGCTTCTTTTAATTTTACTATACTTGTAGGGGAAAAAAAACAGAATATGTTCAATCTATTAAATTCTGATAAGCCAACACAATCAATATAATCCAACCTGCAATCAGTCTAAAAAGGTGACGTTACCTTCGAGTACATCTAGCAAATAAGTGCATGTTTGACACAGAAAGTATTTTCTAGAAAAAATGAGATATGCCTAAAAAAAATAGAATCGATGCATTTTTTTTAAATTTTTTTAAATTATTCTTACACTTATGACTTACCAAACATTGCACAAATTGTTCTCCTGTTTTCTCTTTTGTCTCACAAAAAGTGCATGGATCATATAATTAATTTGTTTGCCAAACATTCTCAAAATTAAAATTTCATTTGGTAATTCCCAAAATCAGTGTTTTTCAAATAAACTTCATTTATCATTACGAGATCTAATATAGTGAGAGATTGATTTATTTTGCAGGCTGTTCTTTTTACGATTGCCATTATTGCCATTATTATTATGGTGAAAAACACAGGAAGTGGTGGCTCTCGTTAATTTCAGATGAAGAGTTATGAAGTGTGATAAATACTGCAACTTGCACTTTGGGTATACGTCTTTACTTAATTAAGGACATATTCATGTGTTGTTGGTAACTCCCTCCACTTGCAATTTGTCTCGTTTGATTTGTCACAACTTACATCGTGGCATGTTGTGGACTTAAGATAATAATTTTAACTGTGATCATGTGCTTGTCATGACAAGTGGAGGCTATGATCTTTATTACTTGTTTTGGCTTTGATTTTTAAAAATTCATATAAACCCACCCGGTTAAATCAATAAAATATTAAATTAGTATCTTGATCAGTTTAATAAAATATTTTGTGTATAATTAAATTGATCATGGTTCGACTAAAGTTTTTTGAACATTAACTATTGAACTAGTATTTTGACTGGTTTAATAATCAGTTCGGTTTTTAGTACCTTGCTAATTATGAGAACAATGACATTAAAGGGCTAAAAGATTGATGAATCAAACTTAAATAAGAACCAATGATCCTTTAGTGAATTGATTTGAAAGTTTATGACTCTTATTTCTTGATTTGCAACTTCAAAACAAAAATTGGTAGGTGATATTTGCTAATTGGTAAAAGAAAATCTTGTCAAATATATCATTAGTTGCAAATCATTTTCATTAACAAATTAAAAAATTTTATTTATAAATTTTTTGTTTTGAGGATTGCAAATAAGGGTATGAGAGTAGCAAATCATAGGAAATTATGATAAATTTGACAAGTTTTTTAAGTAAATAATTAGTGAATTTTAATTGTAAATTCTTCTTTTGATAATTGAAAAATTATGGAATGAGAGAAACAAATTTTTAGACCAGTTAACCAAAGAATTTTTTGTCCTTATTTTGGATTTCAAAATCCTTTGATCCTCATTTAAATTTAATTCAATCTTTTGGTGAATGTAGTTCCCCCTAATAAAAATTTGGTCCTTTAATATTTTCTAAATGGTTAGAAACATGATTTGCTGTTGTGCATATTAATGAAGGCCTTGTTTGATGACTTTCCAAATAAAAGGGTGGATTTGGTAAGGGAACAATATAAATTTTATTGTACTAATCATTATAAAAAAATTATTTTCTTCAATTGAGAATGAGCGAATTGATTTTGAAAACAATTTTTCTTCAGCTTAAGTTTTTTTTTTTTTTTGCCTCAAGAAAGTTCAAGGTTAAGATTTGAGACGAAGTCAATTTACTTTTATTAATTTTTCGTTAAAATATGCATTTAATGCTTTAACTTTAAACAATGTTTCATTTTAATCTCTTAATTTTATAAAATATTTTTTCAGTCCTTTAATCTTAATATTGTTAGTTTTATCTTAAAAAATTTTTACATTGAACTTTTAAATATTGACAAAACATTCTTGATGTAAAAAATAACAATTAAGTTTAATTTTTTCAAAATAACAATTATTGATGTAAAAAATAATCATTTGAAACTAATAATATTAAGATTAAATAATTAAAAAGATATTTTAAAAAATAAAGGATCAAATTGAAATCTTATATAAGTTATAAGACTAAAAGTATACTTTAGCCATAATTTTTTTTTGGGTAAAAACTTTAGCCATAATTTTTAACTGATTAATATTGCCGGTTATTTAATCCGTTAAAGTGTTTATTGGACCATCAATGATCAGATTATAATTATATTTCTAGTTTTAGTATGCTGATGATTATCATTATTTTAAGCAAAAGATACAAATAAAATAAAATAAAATAGATTTCAATTGAACTAATAATAAAAGTTGCCCAAAATGAAATAATAATAAAATATAAGAGTAGCTATGTTTTGTGTGCAGCAATTTATGCGATATGGCAAGTCCTGAAAATCCCAATTGTGATAGGTTATATTATAGGGTGATAAATGATCTCAAAGTTAGATTGATATTTTAATTTTAAACATAACTCTTAAAATTGTAAGTGATATTCCTGTTTGTAACTATATACCTATATTTACAACTTTTTTTAAAAAAAATTGTTAAAGACATGATTGTTATTAATTCAATTTTTAAATCTTAACCCTACTAATTATAATGAATGATACCTAAAGCATAAAAAACTTGTTAATTTATACTCCCTCTAGGCATATATATTTATAAGAAACAACTTATGTAGGCCCAGAGGTAATATATAATATAAATTTATATCCTATACCAATGAATTTATGGTAGGGTTATTTGAAGGTAGAAGAATAAATATCTGTATATGACTTGAAGTTTAAGAGATTTTTGTATGATTTAGCCAAAATAAAAATAGATAAATATGGGTAACGATATTCCTTTCACTCTCTAGTTTTACTGAGTCAACAAACTATAATGACTTAATTGTTTCAAGTTAAGAAACTATAAGAACTAAGTTATTCTAAATTATAATTTAGCAATTAAATCAGTAGTTGGGAAAATTTTTAAAGACTAAAAATTATATTTTCTCTTGCTCATATCGCATATTTGATTCTCTTCCCCCTCCCTTTTCCTCTCTCTGGTTACACCACACTAGCCAATTCTAGTAGTTTATATTGAGTCATTGATAACATTTCTTCTTCTATGAAGGTTTATAATTAATGGTGGAGCCAGAATCCTAGGCTAGAGGTGAATTTTTCTTTACTATATTCCAACCAATTTTCAAACTCACTAAACCAAATAGGACAAAATCTTCTCATAGAATTTTAAAATTTTCTTTGTGAAAAATTATGTTAGGTAGGTTGACATGGTCTTTTTTGCAAATATGCCCTTCATACCTTGGTCATTAGGATGATATGATGAAATTTTAATTCTTTTTCCTAGATGAGATTGCAATTCTTGCAAGTTTGTTTCAATTTGTTGTTCTAGTTGAATACTCAATTCACAAGGCTTTGATCAAGATGGTTTTTCATTTGATAACAACTTTCACTTAAAAAATTATCTCCATTTTCTATTCAAAATTGACACAATTTGTAATTATTCAATTACAATCTTATAGATATCCAAAACAAAAGAGATGACTAAAAAACTATATTTATGAAACAAAAATAGATACTTGAAAACAAAATCATATAACTCAAAGGAAAAATTGGTGAAAAGGACTTTGTTAGAAGAAAAATTAGCCCCAGGAACCAAATGTAATTGAAGGACCAAAGTAGTATTTTATTCATTAAATTAAAGCCGGTAATTTGGGCCGAGCCCGACGGGCCAGCCCGAACCTGCCCGAAAAATTTAGGGCCAAGCCCGAAAAAAATATTATTTTTTATTGTTCGGGCCTATTCGGGCAGCCCGAATAGGCCCGAGGAAATTCGGGCCAAGCCTGATCGGGTTTGGGCTTGGCCCGAATACCCGAATAAAAAAATAATTTTTTAAAATATATATATAAAATATGATAAATATTAATTAATTTTTCAAGTTTTATATTGTGAACACCGTATTTTGTCCGGGCATTTTTTTAAAAATAATAATAAATAACCAAAAAATATATAAAAATACAAAAATTTTAATCCTTTTTAGGAAAATAATAATAATAATAATCATCATCATCATCATCTAACAAAAAATCCTCTCTCCTTTTACCTTAGATAACCCTTCTCTTAAAAGAAAATTAATTAAAAAAAAATACTATGAGATATCTTAATAATAGATTAAATAATAAAATAAAATAAAGTAAAGAGGTAGTATCACGTGCATGCCAATTTGAACTGCCCAGCTTCAGCAACAAAAACACAGCAGACATGAAACAGACAAAAAGAAGGAAAACGAGAGAGAGAACAGTCAGCCACGCATGCACGAAGAGAACGCCGGAAAAACGCACGAGCAGACGCAGAAAAAAGGAACTTTCAGCCATGCAGAGAAACCAGAACACGTCAACACACAGCCACAGCTACACAGAGAAAAATGCAGGAAAAAAAACAAGCAGAGACGCACAATGAAAGGAAATAGAAACACGCACGTACATGAGAAAGCAGAAAGAAAAACACGGCGCCAACACATACAAAACACACACAGAAAAAGTAGAGGCATGGACACGACAGAAGAAAGAGGGAAGCAAAAAGACAGCATCCACACGCAAAGAAAAAGAAGAGCCATGCAGAAATGAAAACAGAGCAGAGAGCTTTCGGCGCACGCAGAAAATGCAGCGGAAGAGAAGGGAAAAGGAAGAAGTAGAGAAAGGGAGTAATCATTCAGCTCTTCCATCCTCTATATAAGGAGTGACAGGGCTGGGAGAAAAGAGGAGGGGACGGAAGAGGTGAAACAGAAAAAGAAAGACCGAGAGGACTGAAAACAAAAAAAAACAGAGACAGAGGAGAGTTCGAAAAAGGAAGAGAAGAGAGAAAGAAAATAGAGCAGAGAGGAAGCAGCAGAAAAGGAGAGGAAAAATGGAGAAACGGGGCGAGAAAAACTGGAAGAAGGAGATCAGAAGTAAAAACAGAGCATAGGAGAACCGAGAGAGAGCACGAGGACGAACGAAGACTGGAGACGAAAAGAATAACAGAGCAACTGGAGAGAGAGAGAAAGTGTGGAAGGAAAGGGAGAGAATCACCTAAAGCTCTGCGTCGTTCATCATTTTTCTCTCCTCCTTCATCCGCGTGAGCATTTACCGCTGCTTCGTCAAACTCACACCTTCTTCATCCCTCGTCGTTTCCTCTCAGTTTGCAGGGGCTACTGCCATCACTGACTGTGCACTCCGTTCTCCTCTGTGTCTTCATCTCCTCTTCCTTTCTCAGTTACGGGCATCGCGGGAGCGTGGGTAAAGTTAGTTCACACTTTATTAATTGCTTCTATGAATTTTATATCCAGATGAATAAGTCTCGAATATACGTATTTATTTTTATGCTCATATGCTAAGCACATATATATATTTTTTTTTAAAACTTAAAGTAGGAGATTTTGAGAATTTTTACAGACATTTAAAATGATCTCATACCATAAAGATCAATAAGATTTTACAAGTATGAGGATCAATTTTGTAGATACTTATACGGGTTCTAAAGGCCCATTATTAAAATTAACTCTCTCTTTATACTAAATATTTAAGTTCCATGTGAGATTTTAAGAATTTTCGTAGGAACTTAAATTAGTCACATTATTATGTGGGACAGTAAGTCCTCGTAGATATAGTGATTTTCAATTTTTGTAATAAATAAGTGATTTTTGCAAATAATCATATAATATACAATTTAAGAAACTTAATTAACCAAATTAAATGTATTTAAATTGTAACCATATTTACCAATTATATCTTTTAGCCACGTGAAATTTTTGAATTTCCGTAGGCTTCTAAGATCATCGTATTATCGTGTGAGTCAATAAGACTCTGCGGATATAACGATTTAGTTTTTAAAATATATATACATATATATTATATAATTAATTAAATCAATTAATTAAATTTAATTCCTGTCTCGTGTGAGATTTTAGAATCTCCGTAGATATTTAGGATAATCATATTACCGTATAAGTCAATAAGGCTTTGTAGGTATGATGATTAAAATTCTTCAAAACATGTATATACATACTTAAAATATATTTTTGATACTTAAAATGTACATAAGAATATAAATAAATAAATTAAATTGCCAAACTCTTCTATCATGTGAGATTTCAGAATCTTCGCAGATACTTAGAGCAATTGCATTACCGTATGAATCAATAAGGTTCTACAGGTACTGCAATTAAATTTCTAATCATAAAATATAAGAAAAATAATTTTAAACCCTTTCATTTCTTTATTCAAAATTTAAAAATTGAGAAAATAATTAAAATTGAATTACCTTTTGCAATTTAAAACACACATATCAAAATTTCAGAAATTGTTTTATTTGCAAAATGGTGAGTTATTTCTAATTAATTTCTCTTCAAAAAATATTTTTAACCGACAAACTTTTAAGCCCGAACTACGTGGACTTTGATCCCCATCACAGGGTACGTAGGCCTCAGAGTCAGATTCTGAGTCAAGTCCGTCCTCCCTCGTAAATAAATAAACATTTCTCACTCAATTATCATCATTTTTATATCAGACACATGAATATAAAAGGGATAATTAAAATAATTTTAAAACCATATTAATAGAGCACAACAAACTTCAGGTAACTGTTCTCACGAACGGGTGTTGTGGGGTGCCTAACACCTTCCCCACACTCAACCGACTCCCGAACCTATTCTCTGATTTTGCAGATCACCCTTATCCTCCTTTTAATCGGTTTCCCGAGATTTACCTCAAAATCTTGGTGGCGACTCCTCGTTCGATCCGGTTCCCGCCGCGAAGGCCGGGACCTCCGCTTGCGCGCCGTCCGCGTCGCATTTTTCCGGGTGCGACAGTTGGCGACTCCACTGGGGATAATATGAGAGTCAAGCCTGTATAAATTTGTTGCGCTCAAAATATAATATGGTTTTTCTTTTATTATTATTATCCCTTTTAATTTGTGTGGGTTTTTTTCCCCTTCTTTTTTTTCTTTTTTTCTTTTTTTTTCTTCTCTCTCTCTCTCTCTTTTGATTCTTATAACATGTCTTAGGATAGATAACATGCGGAATGAACCTTAAGATAGATGACTTTTATTTGTACATATATTTGTTTCTCTATTTGATCTGATTAAAAGTTGGGAGTTGGGTAGCATATGAGAATAAGATAGCATGCTTGCATGCTCTCATCACACTATACACGTACACAATTTGACACACACATATTTTGGGCCCTATACCTGGGTCTGTGAGTACTATAGTTAGTAGAGGTTAGTAGTGGTTTCCCTGTGGAGTTTTTGAACTCTCGGAGGTTACCATGAATACCTCACCCAAGCTGTTACTTGCCTAATAAATTTGGTCCCTGTAGAGCTTATGTTCTCGGAGGGCCAAAATTATTAAGTAAGGTCTTCACCTTTGTGTGAGGGCATCTTGGGAGCCTTTTAGGAATATACATCCACCCGTGAATTACACGTTTCAGACAACAGCTAGTAGCCAACCATTCTAGTGAGCACCCGATTATGAACTTAAGTCTCCCTGAATAGGACGCAGGATGAGAGTATTGATCTTTTATTGCATCATTGTCATAGCATGTCATCATAAAGTATTCGCATTTTTTTTTAAAAAAAAACCACAAATTAAATAATTTCTCTTGTCATTGAGTTATTTCATTTTTAAAGTTGAGACTTTAGCCATGTGTCAGTTTTAGCTGCACATAGGCTAATTAATCCCTTTCTCCCTATGGGGCAATAAGCACATTGAGGAGAGAATGGATTTTTTTTTTTCCTTGCATATCTATTATCAAAATCATTTTTATCATTTTTTTTCTCTTTTCTCAAAAATAAGATTGTAAGGCTAAACCTTTCAACATTAATCATGTGGGGATTTAAGCCTCTCGTCCATTAATTGTTTACTCCATCTCCCTATGGTGCAATAAGTATCTGGAGGAGAGGGTTTTCAAAAAAGTGAGCCAGATAGCTTGCTAAAATTATGAGAATTGTATATTATTAACCTTTGTTTTGATTAACAGGAACCGTGAGTTATCCAGAATCTTTGTGAAATTGGCATAAGGGATAAATGGCACTCGAAGGTAGTACAAATCTAAGTCATACTGGAAAATTATATCAGGGAAAAGGGATCAAATTATCTGTAAAAGTTGAGCCGCTGGAAACCTTAATTGAGTTGAGCCGTCATATCAAAGGGAAGATTATGCAAGATTTTAAAAGGAAATATGGAAATATCTTGGATCTTCTGTCAGTCACAATACATAATGATGCAATAATGGAATTAAGCCAATATTGGGATGCCTCGTTAAGATGTTTCACATTTCAAGACTTCCAAATGGCACCGACTTTGGAAGAATATGGAGAAATTTTGAGAATGCCCCTTAAGGAGAACATGGCAGTATATCTTTATCCTGGATATTTACCATCTCGAGGCACGATAGCGAAAATTTTGGAAATTCCTAAGGAAAAGGTACGAATGGTTTGCCCAGGACAAACAGAGGGAATCTCAAGAGCTGATGTAGAAGCCCACTTGAAAGTTTTGGCAGAAAAGAGGCTTGGGTTACATTTTGCAGAGTCTTTGCCTTATGCATATATGGAATAATCCTGTTTCCATCATCAATTGGCATAATTGACTTAGGAGCCATTAGTGTATTCCAAATGGTGGAATACCATAACGTGAATCCGGTACCAGCAATCTTGGCAGAAACGTACTTGACCTTAACTCAATGTCACAATAAAGGGAAAGGAAAGGTCAATTGTTGTATTGCATTACTGGATTTATGGATGCTTGGCCACCTTTATGGAAAGACGCTTCCTTTCAGAAAGAAGAACGACTCAGACAGTAATCCACTCATGTCTTTTAAAGGCCAATTCGTGATTGACGGAATGAGCTACATGGATTGGAAAAGAACCTTCTCAGAACTTAAAGAAAGTTCCATTTTATGGAAACTAGACTGGTGGTGGAAAGAGGAGGTTATTTACCATTGTGGTGACTTTCCGAATGTGCCTTTAATGGGACCCAGAGGGTGTATCAACTATAACCCTTCCTTAGCGTTAAGGCAACTGGCCTATAAGCAAAATGTTCCTTCTAAGAAAGAGGTGCAGGAGTTATACTTTCTACATAAGGAGGATGGGACAAAGTTATCAAACCAGAATGTCAAAGAAGCATGGCAAGAGATAGGGTACAAAGGGAAGATTGAGCTAGGGATACGTGTAGTAAACTCAAGTCCAGAATACACTACTTGGCTGAAGAGTATGATTCAAGGAGCAAATCCTTTATTTCATCCTCAAAATCCCTTGTTAGGCAATGACTTGAAAGAGATTAATGGGCAATTGGTTGAATGCTTGAAGATGAAGGAAAATGAGTTACAAGCGCTTGCTAGCTCAGAGTCTAAGAATAAAGAAGAATTGGAAAAATACCAAAACGAATGCGTTGAGTTACGGAGGAAGCTAGCAAAGGAAAGAGAAGGGCATAACCTTGAAGAAACACCTGAGACTAAGAAATTGAAAAAGGAAAATGCCAAACTGAAAAGGGAAGTGCAAACTAGTGATAACAAAGTTCAAAGTACTAAAGCAAGACTTGTCAAAATAGTCAGAGAAAATGATGCATTGAAGAAGGAATTACAAGACATCAGACCCATTGAGGAGATGCAGCAAGAAATCAATACGCTCACAAGACAATTGGAAAGGAAGGTGAATGAACTAGCCAGGGTGAGAGGAAGTGCAGCTGAGACAGCACAGAACTTTGTTCAGAGGCTTAATCAACAAAATGAAGTCTTAGAAGAGTGGAAATCACTTTGCCTTGATCAAACAGAAGAAACCAAAGAGTGGATGTTAAAATGTAGGCAGATAATTGATTTGGCTAATGACAAAATTCCAGAATTTGCAAGAGCATTTAAGCAAGCTGAAGGCATGGTTCTCCCTGGAGGAACTCCATTAGAGATTGTTGAATTCTTCCATTTGTGCAATGAAATTGTAAAAGAACTCAATAGCGTGACAAAGTTCTAAATCTGTATTAACATTTGAATCATTGTATGAGGATCCAGATGACGCTTTGTGGTTGTGAAATTGTTGATTGATTTGTACTACCATCATTGTCTTAAAACCTTGAATTTTGATAGGATCCAATGTCCTTCTAATTCAATGGTCAACTTTGAATCCCCTATGAAATAATAAATTTCTGGAGGAATTTAAAGGGTGCTAGTGTCGTGAAACCCTTATGTCTACACAATGCTGGATATCTTACAAAACAAACGTAAAGGTAAAACTTATTAAAATTAATTATTATGTTACACAGGTAAGCCAACATTGCGCCTCGAAAGAAAAACTCGGTTGACCAGATTCCCGCCACTGGAGCATACAACACACGATCGCGTAGTCGTGCAATGGAAAATTCAAACGTGAATGAGTCAGCGACCTTAAATGATCGGATGTCTGCAGTGGAGTCTAAAATGGCCGAAATAAGTGACATGATGAAATTGCTAACAGAGGCTCTAAAAGGACGGAGTGATGATAACCCACCACAGAATACCGTAGCAGATGAGAACGCGGCTAATAGAACAATTGAGCCAAACAGAAGATCAGATCCTAAAGTACCCACGCCAGAGAAACAAGATTCTGGGATAGGGGCCTTTAACATACCGGATGGTCCTGGGGAAGATCATGCCTACATGTTCCAAATCCCACAAGTGCTACATAAAGAGAAGGAGTTGAAAGAAGAACTTGGAGAGATGAAAGATCAATTGAAGGCTCTTCAAGGATCAAACACGTGGGGTTCCTTAGACTTGAAAGAATTATGTTTGACCCCAGAAATTGATGTTCCCAAGAAATTCAAGATGCCAAGCTTCGATAAATATGATGGTACAAGTAACCCAATTTATCATTTGAGGGCCTATTGCACAAAGATGTCCATATGGTCACAAGATGAGAAGTTTCTGATAAACTTCTTTCCTGAAAGCTTAACTGGAGCCGCATTGACTTGGTACATGCAACTAGACCAAACCAAGATCAAAAGATGGAAAGACCTTGTGGATGTTTTCATGAGACAATACAAGTTCAATCTTGATACTGCTCCGACCAGAGAACAATTGAAAGCAATGACCAAGAAATCATCAGAGTCATTCAAAGAATATGCTCAAAGATGGAGAATAGTGGCTTCGCAAGTGCAACCTCCAATGGTTAATTTCGAACTTTGCTCGTACTTCATCCGTGCATTGCCTAAGCCATTTTACCAACACATGATAGGAACACATGTCACTGATTTTGCTGATTTAATGGTAATTGGGGAAAGGATTGACATAGACATACGAGAAGGGAAGATAGCCACTTCTCAAGCTGAAAGTAGTTCACGAAAGAACTATGACCAAAAAAAGAAAGAAGGGAATGTGAACTATATTCAACCTATAAGACAAGCAGCTACCAATTCTCAAGTCCCTTATCAAGTAGAGGGAAGGAATCAAAGACAGCAACAATTTGGGTTCAGGCCTAACAAGCACGGACAGGATGGAGAGAGGAGAAATGTCCAATCCAGGGATAGTCGCCCATGGCCCAATTTTGGATTAACAAATGCTGAATTGTACCATAAACTTTTGACAGCCCAATTATTAGGTCCGCGACCTTATAAGCCTCTTGGTCCGCCTTACCCGGCATGGTATAATCCAAATGTTGTTTGTGAATACCACATGGGTGCACCTGGGCACTCAATAGAAGACTGTGTGACGTTTAAAAGGAATGTGCTAGACCTAGTTGATTCTAACCATATCCAGCTTAAAGAAGAGGGAAGCTCTACCCTTACTACTGATCCACTCCCAAATCACGAAAAACGAGTCAACGCTATTGAAGAAGAAGATGCGTGCTTCAAAAGCTCCGCAAGGATCAGGATGCCTATGAATGAGCTTTATGCTCACTTAAAGGAGTATGGCTATATGCGAGAAATGCTCCTCACGAATAATATCAGTGATCAAATGCCTGGATACTGTGAATATCATCAGGAGAAAATAGGCCATGACATAGAAAGTTGTGAACAGTTTAAAGGAGCTGTTAGAAAAATGATGGCGTTAGGGATCGTGTCTGTAAAGAAGGGAGACGCCAAAGTGTGCATGGTAGAAAAAAAACATGTTGAGCTTGTCATTAAAAATTCGAGCCCAAAAGAACGGGTTCAGGCAGTCTCTTTTGTGATAAACAAAGCCTCTGCAGATCTTGTACCTCACGTAAGACAACCAACATTGACCATAAGCACGCCTCATCCCTTTCCCTATGAAAGTGATCGAGCAGTCCCGTGGAAATATCAAAGCATTGTGGAGAACCACAAAAACCCAACGTTGATTGCCGGGACAAGCAATGAAATGGCAAACCAAGGGGGTGTTACTCGAAGTGGAAAACCATACTTACCATCTTACATTAGGAAAATGGTAAAAGAGAAAAATGCAAGTATTGACAGGCCAAAGGAAGATAATCCTAAAGAAATGGAAAAATTAGAAGATGAGTTTTTATCGATTATGAAGCAAAGTGATTACAGCATTGTGGACCAATTGAAGAAAACTCCAGCGCGTATCTCCATACTTTCTTTGATTTTGAGTTCCGAAGCGCATCGCCAAGCATTGCAAGAAGTGTTGAATCAAGCTTTTGTGCAGCCTAATATAACCCCTGAGAAGGTGGCAAGTGTAATGAATGTTGTAAAAGCCTCCTCTACCATTTCCTTTTCGGAAGAGGAAGTTACAGAAACCGCTGTCCACCAAGCCAAGGCTTTGCACATCACTTTGAAATGTGAAGGGTTCATAATCGCAAGAGTATTAATTGACGGAGGATCAGCGTTAAATGTCTTGCCGCTCTCCACATTCGAATCATTATCACTAGAGGCTTCAAGTGTACATAAAAGTAATATTGTGGTAAGAGCATTCGATGGATCAAGACGGGAAGTATTAGGATCCGTTTGTCTCTCCCTGGAGATAGGGCCAAGCAGGTTTAAGGTGGATTTCCAACTCATGAACATAGACCCAAGTTACACAATGCTGCTAGGAAGGCCATGGATTCATTCTGCTAGGGCTGTTCCTTCTACCTTACATCAAAAGGTTAAATTCATCAGTGATGGGAGAATTATAGCAGTTAAAGGAGAGGAGGAAATCATGGTGAGCAAACCAAGCTCACTCCCTTATATTGAGGCTGCAGAGAAAGATCATGGAGTTTCTTTTCAAAGCCTAGAGGTTGAAGATATTTGCGATAGTACTCACAACATCAATTCCGTCGTGGCTAAAATCATGACGAAGAGTGGGTTTATGCCAGGGAAAGGTTTAGGCTCTCATTTACAAGGAATTACGTGTCCAATTAAGGTTTTGGATAATTGTAATCGCCAAGGGTTAGGGTATGAGCCTACCCTAGAAGACCAGATGAAAGACAAAGCAAGCTTGGCAAAAGGCAAAAAGGCTAGTAAATTGGAGATTCCACACATTAAAGAATCCTTCCCAGGCCCGTCCGAGATGATATATAAACCAACTATCTCAGTGATCTCTTTTAATGAAGATGTAGCATGCAGAACAAGTGCCTCAATTGCAGTCGATGATTCCAACAAAGTTCTGGCGAATTGGGAGTTTGAAGAGGCCAATGATGTCATTAGCTTAGAGTAATTGTTTCAATTATGTTGTTCCTACTTTATCCACTTTTGAGCCCAGGTTTAGGTAATAGATCTTGGGTATTCACTAATGCAAACTTTTGATACACATAATTCATGAAAATGAATTTCAATTGCATTCATGTCTATTTCTTTATTCCACCCTATCTACTTCAATACATCTTTCTCCGTTTCATTCCTGTTCCTTATTTTATCTCGTTCCATATTCATTATCCAGGGATTTTGTTTCTTCTGATTCCATCTCCCACCCAGAGATTAATAAACCCTGTGAAGATGATTCATTCGTTGCCACTGATATGCATGATTGTGAGTCTGATGATGAAGACATAATCCAAACTTTTTCAAAGATGCTTGAATTGAGTGATAAGGGAATATGCCCACATGAAGAAGTGATTGAGATGGTTAATATGGGAACCGAGGAGGATCAAAGAATGCTCAAAATAGTAGATAATCCTGAAAGGACAAATGATTGAGTTGTTCAAAGAATACATAGATGTGTTTGCATGGTCATATAAAGACATGCCTGGGCTAGACCCAAGCATTGCTTCTCATAAAATACCATTACTTCCCAAGGTCGAGCCTAAGAAACAGAAGTTAAGGAGAATGAACACGGGGGTGTCCTTGCAAATAAAAGAAGAAGTAATAAAGCAGTTAGAAGCAGGATTTTTGGAGGTAGTAACTTACCCACAATGGGTGGCAAATATTGTTCCTGTTCCTAAAAAAGATGGTCGGATTCGAATGTGTGTTGATTATCGTAATCTAAATAATGCGAGTCCGAAAGATGACTTTCCATTACCCCACATTGATGTATTGGTCGATAATACTGCTCGAAGCTATCGCTATTCCTTTATGGATGGTTATTCAGGGTACAATCAAATCCCTATGCATGAAAGGGATAAAGAGAAAACAACCTTTACAACCCAATGGGGAACTTATTGTTATCGGGTAATGCCTTTTGGTTTGAAAAATGCTGGGGCAACTTATCAACGAGCTATGGTAGCACTATTCCATGACATGATGCATAAAGAAATTGAAGTATATGTAGATGATATGGTAGCTAAATCAGCGGAGAATGAGAGTCATGTTGGAGTCCTTAGAAAGCTATTTGGGAGATTACGCGAATATCGGCTAAGATTGAATCCTAACAAATGCATTTTTGGAGCTCTTTCTGGGAAGTTATTGGGATTCATTGTGAGTCGTAAAGGGATAGAAGTAGATCCAGATAAAGTGAGAGCAATTCGAGAAATGCCATCTCCCCAAACAGAGAAAGAAGTTAGAAGTTTCTTGGGACGATTGAATTACATTGCTAGATTCATTGCCAATCTAACAGCCACTTGCGAACCAATGTTTAAGCTGTTAAAGAAAAATTGCAAGGAGACATGGGATGATGATTGTCAAAAGGCCTTTGATAAAATTAAAGATTATTTGTTAAATCCCCCGATTTTGGTACCTCCATCACCAGATCGTCCACTAATCCTTTACCTAACAACTTTACCTCGCTCAATGGGAGCAATGCTAGGTCAACTTGATGATTCTGGAAAGAAGGAAAGAGCGATTTATTTCTTGAGCAAGAAGTTTAATGAGTGTGAAGCTCGTTATCCGGTGATTGAGCGAACTTGTTGTGGACTAGTATGGGCAACTAGAAGGCTAAGGCAATACATGCTTTACTACACTACCTGGCTAATCTCACGAGTGGACCCACTTAAATACATCTTTGAGAGCCCGCACATTGCTGGTAGAGTACTAAAATGGCAAGTTGTACTATCAGAATATGATATAAAGCATGTGATGCAAAAGTCAGTCAAAGGTAGTGCAATAGCAGATCACTTGGCCGATAATCCTTTAGAGGATGACCAGCCATTAGATTTTCAATTTCCTGATGAAGGCATATGCACTACAGAAGAAGGTTGTGATGAAGGAAACAATGAAGAGCAAGAATGGGAAATGTATTTTGATGGAGCCGCCAACATGCATGGAAATGGGGTAGGAGCGGTGATCGTTTCACCAGAAGGAAAACAATTTCCAGTGGCCATCAAATTAGAATTTGATTGTACTAACAACATAGCAGAATATGAAGCTTGTGTTAATGGTCTTCGAGCAGCTATTACCCTTGGTATACGGTGTTTGAAGGTATTTGGTGATTCAGCTCTCATTATTCATCAAGTAACAGGAGAATGGAGAACAAAGGATGTAAAATTGATTCCCTATCAAGAACTCCTAACAGATTTGATTAAGCAATTTAAGGTTGCTAGCTTTCATCACTTGACTAGAGATAAAAACCGTTTCGCTGATGCTTTAGCCACTTTAGCAGCAATGATCCAACTTGATTGTGGAGTCCATGTCCAACCCATCCAAGTGGAAGCTAGAAGCTTTCCAGCGTACTGTCTGAATGTTGAAGAAGATCGAGAAGAATATCCTTGGTTCCAGGATATTAAGGATTATATCACTAAGAGATCATACCCAGCTGGAATGACTGAGAATGAAAAGAAAACCCTTCGTCGTTTGGCTATGACATTCTTTATCAGTCAAGATGTTTGTACAAGAGGGGTTATGATGGTACTTTACTTCGCTGTGTGAGTTCAGAAGAAGCAAAGAAAATCATGGTTGAGGTACATGAGGGCATATGTGGCACGCATGCGAATGGTCACACTATGGCCAAACAGATTCAAAGGTGTGGCTACTTCTGGCTAACAATAGAGAAAGATTGCTTTGAGCATGTCAAGAAATGCCATAAATGTCAGATCTATGCTAATAGGATAAATGCTCCTCCAATCCCATTACATAATTTGGTATCACCCTGGCCATTCTCAATGTGGGGCATTGACATTATTGGCCCAATTAACCCAAAAGCTTCGAATGGACATCGCTTCATCCTTGTCGCGATTGACTATTTCACAAAATGGGTAGAAGCAAATTCATTTGCTAGCATCACGCAAAAGACGTTCCTTAAATTCATGAAGACAAATATTTTATGCCGATATGGGATTCCTGAAAGGATCATTACTGATAATGGTCCCAATCTCAATGGAACGGAAGTCAGGAACTTTTGCGAGAAGTTCCAAATCAAGCATCATAATTCAGCCCCATATAGACCTCAAATGAATGGAGCAGTTGAAGCAGCCAATAAAAATATTAAGAAGATCATTGGAAAAATGACAGTAACTTATAAAGATTGGCACGAGATTCTTCCCTATGCTTTACATGGTTATCGTACTACTGCACGCACATCCACAGGGGTAACCCCATACTCCCTTGTTTATGGAATGGAAGCTGTTACACCCTATCGAGATGGAAATACCATCTTTAAGAGTATTGGCAGAGGTAGATTTAGAAGAAAATGAATGGATACGAACCCGATTTGAGCAACTTAACATGATTGAAGAGAAAAGGCTCATTGCAATGTGTCATGGACAATTGTACCAAAAGAGAATGGCAAGAGCTTTTGATAAAAAACTTTGCCCACGGGAATTCAGTGCTGGTGATCTTGTACTCAAGAAATATTGCCTAACCAAGAAGATAATAGAGGCAAATGGGCTCCGACCTACGAGGGACCTTATATTGTCAAACATGCCTTTTCTGGAGGAGCACTGATCCTAGCTGACATGGACGGTCAAGAGTTAGCAAAGCCCATTAATGCAGATGCTGTCAAGCGTTACTTTGCTTAAACAGAAAATGAGAAAGAATGAAGCGCTCGTTAGGTTGAAAACCTGCAAAGGCAACCTAGGCAAAAGTTAGAGCTAATAGAAAATGAAAAGGAAAGAATAGCTCGTTAGGTTAAAAAACCTGTAAAGGTAACCTAAGCAAAAGTTAGAGCTAAAAAAAAAAGGGGGGGGCCAAAGCCATGATAAGAAGAAGAAGAGTTCGCCAAGACAAAAGGATGTCTTAGGAGAAGAAAAGGAAGGCATCAAAAGTTAAATATCTATGTTTGGGAAAGTTGTCTCCATCGTCTCTCATATTATGCATATCAATAGCAGCTCAGTGAAACACCTGTTGGGGTTTTGAAAAGCTAAAGGAAAGAGATGTGATTAAGTAAATCCATATATCCCATTCGCGCTTTAGCCATTTGTACTCATAAACCAAGATATTCCCATTTCTCTATGAACTTTAGCTTCAGTGAATGAATTTTTTCCACCCTTGCTCCTTTGAGACCATCTTTCTTCTCGTTTCATGTTATCATATTCAAATTCATATCCCCTATATTACAGCAGGTTCGCATTCAAGGAACAATATTTATTGACGCATTTACTTGACGTAGAATGCTGGTATCTTTATTCTCTCCTTTCGCCCTTAAGGTATCAAGATCATTACGTAGGTGTAAAATGATAATGAGAGCATGTCTACTATCAGTGTTTGGTTATAATAGTTAATCTCATTAATTTGAAGACAAGATCAAGTGACGAGAATTTGATCATTGGAATTTTCTAAAGAGGGGCAACAGCATACTGTGATACTACACCTATTAATGAATAAAGGTTAAATAACAGACTTGGAGGTATTACCTTATGTTCGAAATGATTTATTCAATGTGCACAAAATTTTCAAAAAAAAGGATAAATACTAAGATGGTTTTTCAACATTAAGCTTTCCAATAAAATTTTTTGCAATACATTTGCATTATTCATACATTTGCATTGGGGCAAATAAGCGCGTCTTACCCTTAGCATTTGTCACAAAAGGAAGTCTCATAAATTGAGGCAAACAAAGGTTCAAACCTTTTACATTGCAAATCATCCATCCATGGTATATTGTACATATTCTCAGCACTTACAAAAATCATACACGACGCATTACCACATTGTAGAAACACGCCGCATTGGGATTGGGGCAAAACGACATATAAAAAGAAAACAAAAAAACAAACAACAACAACAACAACAAAATTTTAGGAAGTGAGAGAAGAAATAACAAACCTCACCTGTGAGTTTCTCATATCTTCCACGTGAAATAAAACCTATTCGCACCCCCTAAAAGCCCTGTAACGGCAGGCACCCCAAAGCCCTGTCACGGCAGGCAACTCAAAGCCCAGTACCGGCTAGCACGATTCCTTAAAGCCCTGTAACGGCAGGCACCCCAAAGCCCTGTCACGGCAGGCAACTCAAAGCCCAGTACCGGCTGGCACGATTCCTTAAAGCCCTGTAACGGCAGGCCCCCAAAGCCCTGTCACGGCAGGCACCCCAAAGCCCAGTACCGGCTGGCATGATTCTTAAAAGCCCTGTAACGGCAGGCACCCCAAAGCCCTGTTACGGCAGGCACCCTAAAGCCCAGTACCGGCTGGCACGATTCTTTAAAGCCCTGTAACGACAGGCACCCCTAAAGCCCTGTTACGGCAGGCACTCCAAAGCCCAGTACCGGCTGGCACGATTCTTTAAAGCCCTGTAACGGCAGGCACCCCTAAAGCCCTGTTACGGCAGGCACTCCAAAGCCCAGTACCGGCTGGCACGATTCTTTAAAGCCCTGTAGCGGCAGGCACCCCTAAAGCCCTGTTACGGCAGGCACTCCAAAGCCCAGTACCGGCTGGCATGATCCTTTAAAGCCCTGTAACGGCAGGCACCCCTAAAGCCCTGTTACGGCAGGCACGCCAAAGCCCAGTACCGGCTGGCATGATCCTTTAAAAGCCCTGTCACGGCAGGCACCACAAAGCCCAGTATCGGCTGGCACAATTCTTTAAAGCCCTGTCACGGCAGGCACTACAAAGCCCAGTATCGGCTGGCACAATTCTTTAAAAGCCTTGTCACGGCAGGTACCACAAAGCCCAGTATCGGCTGGCACAATTCTTTAAAGCCCTGTCACGGCAGGCATCCTCCAAGCCTTGTAAAAGCAGGCATCCACCAGGTCCTTTAGAACATAGGCAATTCATCTCCATTGAGGTTTTGTTTTGTTTAGTTCATAAATCACATTTCATTTTAAACCCTTTCTTTTATTTTGTTTTGTTTTGTTTGGTTGTAGATGCCTAAGAGTCTTGCCCCTCCTAACAAAATACATGTTTCTCTCTTCATTCATTTCTAAGATAAGAATATCATCTCATGAAATTCTCACTTAGAAATCAAATGAAAAGGGGGCATCTAGTCAACATATATTTTGTTTGGATCTTTGTCATTTGATTATTTTCATTCACATCACATTGCTAAAAATCAAAAATCATGTCACTGTGTTTGTTATGCGATAGTCTCGCATTTAATCATATCTTGTCGTGTCAGGGGCAATTAGGTCTTTTCATAAGTATTGCATGGCCGACCAAAATACATGTTCTATCTTTACTTGTCACTTATGTAAGAATTCAAAAACACACTTTTTCATATACTTACATAAGAAACAAGTAAAGAGGGGCAACTGTGAACACCGTATTTTGTCCGGGCATTTTTTTAAAAATAATAATAAATAACCAAAAAATATATAAAAATACAAAAATTTTAATCCTTTTTAGGAAAATAATAATAATAATAATAATAATCATCATCATCTAACAAAAAATCCTCTCTCCTTTTACCTTAGATAACCCTTCTCTTAAAAGAAAATTAATTAAAAAAAAATACTATGAGATATCTTAATAATAGATTAAATAATAAAATAAAATAAAGTAAAGAGGTAGTATCACGTGCATGCCAATTTGAACTGCCCAGCTTCAGCAACAAAAACACAGCAGACATGAAACAGACAAAAAGAAGGAAAACGAGAGAGAGAACAGTCAGCCACGCATGCACGAAGAGAACGCCGGAAAAACGCACGAGCAGACGCAGAAAAAAGGAACTTTCAGCCATGCAGAGAAACCAGAACACGTCAACACACAGCCACAGCTACACAGAGAAAAATGCAGAAAAAAAAACAAGCAGAGACGCACAATGAAAGGAAATAGAAACACGCACGTACATGAGAAAGCAGAAAGAAAAACACAGCGCCAACACATACAAAACACACACAGAAAAAGTAGAGGCATGGACACGACAGAAGAAAGAGGGAAGCAAAAAGACAGCATCCACACGCAAAGAAAAAGAAGAGCCATGCAGAAATGAAAACAGAGCAGAGAGCTTTCGGCGCACGCAGAAAATGCAGCGGAAGAGAAGGGAAAAGGAAGAAGTAGAGAAAGGGAGTAATCATTCAGCTCTTCCATCCTCTATATAAGGAGTGACAGGGCTGGGAGAAAAGAGGAGGGGACGGAAGAGGTGAAACAGAAAAAGAAAGACCGAGAGGACTGAAAACAAAAAAAAACAGAGACAGAGGAGAGTCCGAAAAAGGAAGAGAAGAGAGAAAGAAAATAGAGCAGAGAGGAAGCAGCAGAAAAGGAGAGGAAAAATGGAGAAACGGGGCGAGAAAAACTGGAAGAAGGAGATCAGAAGTAAAAACAGAGCATAGGAGAACCGAGAGAGAGCACGAGGACGAACGAAGACTGGAGACGAAAAGAATAACAAAGCAACTGGAGAGAGAGAGAAAGTGTGGAAGGAAAGGGAGAGAATCACCTAAAGCTCTGCGTCGTTCATTATTTTTCTCTCCTCCTTCATCCGCGTGAGCATTTACCGCTGCTTCGTCAAACTCACACCTTCTTCATCCCTCGTCGTTTCCTCTCAGTTTGCAGGGGCTACTGCCATCACTGACTGTGCACTCCGTTCTCCTCTGTGTCTTCATCTCCTCTTCCTTTCTCAGTTACGGGCATCGCGGGAGCGTGGGTAAAGTTAGTTCACACTTTATTAATTGCTTCTATGAATTTTATATCCAGATGAATAAGTCTCGAATATACGTATTTATTTTTATGCTCATATGCTAAGCACATATATATATTTTTTTTTAAAACTTAAAGTAGGAGATTTTGAGAATTTTTACAGACATTTAAAATGATCTCATACCATAAAGATCAATAAGATTTTACAAGTATGAGGATCAATTTTGTAGATACTTATACGGGTTCTAAAGGCCCATTATTAAAATTAACTCTCTCTTTATACTAAATATTTAAGTTCCATGTGAGATTTTAAGAATCTTCGTAGGAACTTAAATTAGTCACATTATTATGTGGGACAGTAAGTCCTCGTAGATATAGTGATTTTCAATTTTTGTAATAAATAAGTGATTTTTGCAAATAATCATATAATATACAATTTAAGAAACTTAATTAACCAAATTAAATGTATTTAAATTGTAACCATATTTACCAATTATATCTTTTAGCCACGTGAAATTTTTGAATTTCTGTAGGCTTCTAAGATCATCGTATTATCGTGTGAGTCAATAAGACTCTGCGGATATAACGATTTAGTTTTTAAAATATATATACATATATATTATATAATTAATTAAATCAATTAATTAAATTTAATTCCTGTCTCGTGTGAGATTTTAGAATCTCCGTAGATATTTAGGATAATCATATTACCGTATAAGTCAATAAGGCTTTGCAGGTATGATGATTAAAATTCTTCAAAACATGTATATACATACTTAAAATATATTTTTGATACTTAAAATGTACATAAGAATATAAATAAATAAATTAAATTGCCAAACTCTTCTATCATGTGAGATTTCAGAATCTTCGCAGATACTTAGAGCAATTGCATTACCGTATGAATCAATAAGGTTCTACAGGTACTGCAATTAAATTTCTAATCATAAAATATAAGAAAAATAATTTTAAACCCTTTCATTTCTTTATTCAAAATTTAAAAATTGAGAA